GAATAGCAGATTTTAAAAATTTATGAATAATTTATAAAAAGTTTTTATTCCTACAATTCCTATATTACCATTAATAAAAAGAATATATTTTATAATAGTTTCATTTCGAACATGTTAAAATTTATCTGCATTTCGAAAAATTTTATTATAAATGATAATATAATTTATTAAATTAATATATAACTTATGAATTTTTACTTTTTGTATGAAATAAAATTTAGTATTAATAAAGTTATAAAATAAATTGGTGCATGTTAGATGTAAATAAGATATAAAAAGGTGTTTATTCGTATTATTTCAGGTGATTGTAAACAATTAATTATATATGAGCAATGCTCAAATTAGTAAGTTTTTAGTCTGATTAGATCTCATCAGGACAAGCACTGAGGATAAAGTCTATTAGTTGTGTCTTGGTTTTTGATAAGAGGAACAGCGGTCATCAGGAGATCACGCTTGTTGGAGCCAATTGGTGTACGACCCTTCCAATTGTGCATAGATCTGAGTGCTGATATGGTAAAGAACTCAAGGACAAAGAGTCTTTGAGACTTTGTAAGGTACTCGTCTTGGTCTTTTTCTTCTTGGATGGTCTTCGTCGAAGCTGAGGATTTGATTTCTTGAGCTTCAATCGGATCATACTCTTCGTCTTTTCTTAATGTAAGTTGTTCACGCTTGTAGTCGTTTCTGAGGACATTGAGACCGGCTTCGAGCTCTTGTGCTTTCTTCGGAGATTGAGAGAAGTGCATCTGTTGTTGGCTCTGCATCTGCTGCATCATCTGCATTTGCTGTTACATCATCTGTGTCATTATCTGCATCATGTCTTGAGCTGGTGCAGATGTCGCTGGTGTAGGTGTCGCTGGTGTTGAATCTTCTTGGGACATTTGATCTACGGTTAGAACAATAAGTAACGGTTAAACTTCTACTGGTAAAGTTTACACTGGCAGAACTTCTACTGGTAGAGTTTATACTGGCAGAACTTCTACTGGCAGAGTTTATACTGGTAGAACTTCTACTGTTTCCCTCAAAATTGAATACTTTAGCAGAACTTCTACTGGTAGAGTTTATACTGGCAGAACTTCTACTGGTAGAGTTTATACTGGCAGAACTTCTACTGTTTCCCTCAAAATTGAATACTTTAGCAGAACTTCTACTGGTAGAGTTTATACTGGCAGAACTTCTACTGGTAGAGTTTATACTGGCAGAACTTCTACTGGTAGAGTTTATACTGGCAGAACTTCTACTGTTTCCCTCAAAATTGAATACTTTAGCAGAACTTCTACTGGTAGAGTTTATACTGGCAGAACTTCTACTGGTAGAGTTTATACTGGCAGAACTTCTACTGGTAGAGTTTATACTGGCAGAACTTCTACTGTTTCCCTCAAAATTGAATACTTTAGCAGAACTTCTACTGGTAGAGTTTATACTGGCAGAACTTCTACTGGTAGAGTTTATACTGGCAGAACTTCTACTGTTTCCCTCAAAATTGAATACTTTAGCAGAACTTCTACTGGTAGAGTTTATACTGGCAGAACTTCTACTGGTAGAGTTTATACTGGCAGAACTTCTACTGGTAGAGTTTATACTGGCAGAACTTCTACTGGTAGAGTTTATACTGGCAGAACTTCTACTGGCAGAACTTCTACTGGTAGAGTTTATACTGGCAGAACTTCTACTAGTAAAGTTTCTACTGGTAGAACTTCTACTGGCAGAATTTCTACTGGTTATATATGGTGTCAATTTTTAAAAAAATTTTGAATTCAATGAGTTATATCAAAAATAAAATTCTTGAATAGAGTAAAAAAATTTAAATAATTTATTTAAATATTTTCTTCTGACATTTTTGAATAATTTATTTTTTTAATTCGTAAGAAAATGAGTGGATCAAGATTCGTAACCGTCAATCAATTAATGGATGCTCTTTCACCAATTCTTGAAAATGTTAAACAAGTAGATGTTTATTTCGATGATTATGTAGAAAGTTTATATTATAAAGGTAAACATAATATTAAACCCATTGCTTTTGCATTTGATAATAAATTAATTGAAAATGCAAAAATTTGGGAATTAATTCCAGATATTGAATATATAACGAATATAACTAATAAATGGTTCAAACGAATTCCAACCACAAAAGTTCTTTGTAAATTAATGATCAAAACCGAGGCCAAAGAATTTCATGAATTTACATATCATCCAAATAAAGTTTCAGAACTAGAAAATGAAAAACTTCAGAAAAAATTAAACGATAGACTTTCAAATGATCGTATTGAAAAAATAAATAAACTAGCAGAAGTTGCATTTAATAATGAAATATTTGATGAATATAACCTTGAACTCAGTGATGGGCTTTAAGGACCCGGGCTCAACGAGTCATGATTTATGAAATCAATAATTTGATTTATTCGCTCTTCAATAATTTCTATTCTTTTTGTTAAATCATCTATTTTCATTAATGAGGTGATTCTTGATTGAGGAATAGATTTCAAACTAAACCACTCCTTTTATTTTTGAAATTTTGAATCCATCAACTTTAAACATTTTATTCAATTTACATGTTGTCAATTCTTCAAATAATTTTTTATTATTAGCATAATAGTCATTAAATTCTTCAACAGATGAAAAAATTTTTATTTCAGTAATTGGTTTAACAACGTTTATTTTTTGTTGAACATTTTCACTTTCATTTATTTCTTCCTCCTCTGTTTCATTTATTTTTAAAATTGGTTTCATTTATCATTAAATAAAAATTAGAATATAAGTGATGAAATATATTTTTTAATTAATATTAAATCAGAAATGGCGGCAGGATTCTTTAAAAAATTATGGGATGGAATTAAGAAAGCTGCGGGTTGGGTTCATAAAAATATTATTAAACCCGTTGCAAACTTTTTGGCACCAGTAGCGAAAACGGCAGGAACTATCATAGGTGGAGTATTAGGTACTAAAGCAGGTAATCCCGATGGGAGCACAAGCAGGTAACGCAATTGGTGGAATTGCTGAAGGAATACTTAATAAAATAGGAGGTAGATAGTGGAAAAATAAATAAATATTATTTTTATCTTAGTATCGGTTGAAGTCTTTGATAAACTTTTTCTCCTTTATTTAATATTTCTCTTATTGGGGCAGCTTTTGGCGTTATTGATTCAGCAACGTCACTAATTGCTTCTTTATTCTTAAATATCCAATTTGCTCCTTCTTCATGTTTCCCAAACTTTATGCGCTCCTCTTTTTACTTTATCCCACAGTTTCTTAAAGAATCCTGCAGCCATAGTTGATTATTTCATTAAAATTAAAAATTCATTTTCATCTTTTAATTTTGATTTTTTATTTATTAATAAATGACGACTAACTATTTGGTGCCAAACACTAAACCGATTAATGGAAATGTGTTTCATTCATTCGAAAAGATAAATGAAATATTCGCAAAGAATGACGGTAGAAGATATTATAGAGAACTTGAAAGTTCATGCTATGACTCTGATGCTCCATATTTTGATGATAAACAAACTCATTTAAGAATTACAAATCCGGCTCATGATGTGAACCAATTAGGTGACACATATATTAAACGCAAAGTTAAAGCAACTCTAGTTTCAAATAAAGCTTTCACATGTGATGCCGCTTTTAAATGCATGCGTTTATTCGTTGGTTACAAATCATCAAATCAAAGCTTTAAACAATTAGAAGTAGAAACCGAAAGAGGTGATGCCGGTTATCTTCAGATGGATTGCGCCCGTGAATCTTTCGCATTTGCAACATATAAACCAAAATCAGAAAGGAAAGTTAAAAAGTTTGTTCATTCGTTATATAATAATGTTCAAAAATATGATAACTCAGTATGTGGTAAATATATTGACCCTTCAGAAGTTTTCAAGAAAGCAAATGAAGAAGTTGATGTCACTTTTGATATGATTATTCCGGTAAATGATTTGTTAGCATTTCAGGCGTTCGATGATTATCCTAAATCATTTGGTGAAATCATTCTTAAATATTATGTTTTCAGGGATACTTTAGTATTTTGTCAGGTTGACCCGTTAAGAGTTGCTGATTTACAAAATTACGTTTATGAAAAGATAACTGATGAAAATTATGAAAAGATTATGAATCATGTTTATAAATATGATCGCAAATTCCAACAAATCGGACTTCCTGCCAAATTAATTACAAGCTTAGCCGCTACATCTGCTGACGCAACAGTTGATGACGTTATTATTTCATGCACAAAGATGGAAGTTTTAGAGGATAAATGCATTACACCAGGATACGGTTTAATTGAAGAATCAGTTAAAGCAATACCACGTTTATTCAGTAAGGAAGATCCATTCATGATTCCAGCTCAACATATTGACGTTCGTTCACTAAATGGAGGTTGCATCACTCCTGAAGGTATTAGCTCAGATTTCTCATACGCTCTTCATAATGTTACAGATGTTGTGTTAACATTTCCGAAGAATGCAATGCAAAGAACAGTTTTAGAAAATCCAATGCTTCGAGGTCTTCAGGTCACTATAGATTCCAGAAACTTCCCCGATCAAGCGATGACCACAGTGGGTGACATATTCTTTACACGTATGCTTCAAGCTTCTGATTTAGATGGAGTGAATGAATGCACGGAAGAATACGAGGACTCATTAACTAGACCACTGAATGATGATAATGGCAAGCCATTAGCTAGAACATGGAAAGACCAAACTTCATTCTTATGCACTATTCCAGTTCAACGTGATGGAGCGGGTATATTCTTTGATGGATTAGAAACTTTCAACTCACAAGTTACAGTACAAGTGAAAGCTTATCCAATCATTCAGGGTGAAAATGACACTTACTGTTCAAAGGTGACAAATCCTCCTCAGGTTTGGTTTACTAGGACTACGTATTGGACATGGACACCGGATGAAGGTTTGAAATATCATCCAACAGGTACACCACCACAGTATAGAAGTTCATATGATGAAATATTGATGAATAGAAATGTTTAAAATTATAAATTTATTTTTGATTAAATGGATTTAAATTCATCCACCCCTTATGAAGAATTAACAGATGTATATAATACATACGTAGATGATATGATTAATGAAGCATTGAGTGATAATAGAAATGCTCTATCTAAGGAAAAATTAATGAAAATTCCATATTCTGAATGTTATTTAAATTCAATCACTGCAGCAATTGGTAAACAAAATAAAGGTAAAACATTAACGATATTAAAACAAATTATCATTATTGCTAACACTTCCCCCCATTCACATGTGTTAATTTATATCAACCGTTCAGGTTCACCTTCAGATGATACATTTGAATCTTTAAAGCATTTAATCAAAATTCCAATTATTTATTTATCACAAGAAGAAGCAGAAGATTATTTAAAAAACTTTTTAATGTATAAAGAATTATATAATACAATCAAGAAGCAAGGATTAGAGGATAAAATTATTGATAAACAACGGGATGAATTATTTGAAACACTTTCTATTTCAAATTTTGATAGAGAATTTTTGCATTCACTCATTTTTCTAGATGATGCGTGAAATCAAAACTAATAACAATGAGAAATCATATTTTAATCAGTTATTAACTCAATGTCGACACATTCAGTGTTCATTCTTTATGGCTGTTCAATACTTTAAAGCATTAAGCACAAACATTAAATCAAACCTGTCCACCCTTTTCATTTTCAGTGGTTTTAGTCGTCAACAGTTGAACGTTATGCTTTATCAAGTGAATTTACCAATGAGCATTAATGAACTTTACACACAATATCAGCAATTAGGTGAACATGGAAAAATAATAGTTGATTTAAATAAAGGAAGTGTTAAATTTGATTAACTTTTTATAATTAATTTTTATTTTTTATTTATAATTAAACATGACAGAAATAGCAAATCTTCTACAGGTTCCATTAAAACAAGGGACAAACAAAAAGGGTGCATATAATAGAACTATGAAAGTTCCAGACGGAATGAAAGAATTAGTCCACATTGTTGCCGGTCTTCAAAAGGATGTTAAACAAATGAGAAACGTTTTAACATTACCAGAAGCTCAAGCATATGCCAAACGTCATGGACCAAATTGGGAAGCACATGAAGCAGACATTACAGGACCAAATGGAAAGCCTGATGGAATAAATGAAGTCTTTGTTACTGATGGTCAAGGAAATATTAAAGTCATAAATGGGTATAAATTAACAATGACGGATTATCCTAAACGTAAAGCATATAATGAACGTTATCCTATGAAATTTGATGAAATGGAAAAGCTGTTAAACAACATATCGGAGACAGTAAAGATGGACCAATTCTTTCATACCGTCATAATCCATATTCTTATTTCAATGAAGAATTAAACGCTATTGAAGAAGGACCAAACGGATTACCTCAATATGTTAATCAGTTTGATGGTCAATATGCAAATTTGAGACTTGAAATTCCAGCTAAGAAATTCTTTAAAGTTGCTTTATTCGATCCAGTGTTCAATGAACAGAAAGAAGCAATGAAAGCAGAATTTAAACCAATTCAAGTGGCAAGAATTTCTTCATCTTCACTTTCAGAAGCGTTCAAGGAATTGATAAAGAAACCACTTTATTCTCAACAAGGTTATAACTTTGATTTAATTAAAGAAAGTGATAGACGTAAATTAGAAAAATCAGATGGTTTTAAGAATGCATGTAATGAAATGATTAAAGATATTGTAAATGATAAAATAAGACTGGAAGAAACTCAAAACACTATCAATAACATAATTGGTGCAGTTACAAAGAAAGTATAAGCAAACAAGGATGAACCTTGGGATATTACCGTAACAACTAAATAAAACTTTAAATATATTTTTCTTTTTTTTATTCAATTATAAATGAGAAGACGTTTCACAAGTCAAAAGAACACAAACGCAAAAGCAGAGATTACGGTTGGTTATAACGTAAATGATGATAAATCACGAATTATTCAAAATGTTAAAGTTAATGTTAGTCCTGAATTAACAAGGTCAGCAACACAACCAAATTTATTAACTCGTGACTTACCAAAGAAAGAGGAGGAGAATGAAGAAAACCATGAGAATGGAGACCCAATCATTTTATCTGAACCTGGTAAAGAACCTGTTGAAATTCCCACTTATCCAACATACCCCCCGCCTCTTTCATCAAACATCGAGAACCCATATAAAATAGACATTAATTCAGAATTAATGAAAATTTACCGTGATATAATAATTAATAATTATGATTCAATAATAAATTTAATTGACCAATCCGGTTTAATTATTTTACCTTATGAATCATTAATTCACATTATCGCCATTCTTTGTGATGTTCAAGATTCAGACGTTAAGATTCAATTTTTCATAGATGATGAGGTTTCATGCTGCGGAACAGTTGCAAAAATAAATCCTATAAAGGATATTAGCACAATTAAGATATCAAAGAACGGAACAACAACTGAACTTCATTTAACATATAATGATATTTATAATAAAATAGTTGATGAATATAAAATATCACTTGAAAAATTCTTTGTTAAGACTATTTAATATTCAAGTATTAACATTATTGAATAATAATCCTTTGAATCATAATCAATAATAATTGACCTTTCACCAGTTTCTATCGTTTGTTTTATTTCTTTTTGTTCCCCACTATCTGGATCGGTCATTGTAATTGTTTTTGTTATAGTATCAGCTTTATCTTTAACTTCAATCTTTTTTCCGTCGGGATATTTAAACCAAAATTCCAAAAATTCGATATTGTCAATCTGTTCATATTTTAATCTATCAATTACATTTTTAATACCATCTGAAAATCTTATGAAATGGTCATTATATGGGTTTGATTGAACTAAATTTGAATGAAGTGAAATATAACCTGTTGATGAATATGACATTGACTCATATTTTCTGAAAACACTAAAATTTATAACATGAATGAATTTCTTATTCGTTGAATTTATGAATTCTTGAGGTAATCTTATTCTAGTTTTATTTATCACTGGAAAATAACGCTTTACCATATTTTTAATCGTAATAAAAATGTCAATTATCAATATTATTTCGAATAATAACTGTGAATTAAATTTAACAGTTAGCGGAATTTATAATGTTACTCTCGTTTCTGTGAGTGGTAAATTTAATCCTATTCTTTTAGACCCTTCAGATTATATATCATTTATTAAAGATGACCGTGAAAAAACGTATGATATGTATATAAATAATGTGATAGCGAAATGGGATATTAACATGATTTTAAGTTATTTAAATGAATCATTTATCGTATGGTATGAAGAAAATTTTAAATCAAAACCTGATAAACTTTTTGAACTTGATGAAATAAATAACCTTATTAAATTTCCGCTGAAAATTAAATTTTGTACTCCTCATCTTCGTTCATTGTTGGGGATATTAAATTTTGAAAAAGATGTTGGGGATGTTTTGTATTCTGACACCGGTTCCAATTTCATTTTAATCAAATGTGATAAAGTTAATACCCCAATGAGATTTTCACATCAAACATTAGACCCTAACTCTTATCCATCAATACAAAACATTTTATCCATCAACTTAAACACATTTTCTTTATCATATCCGTTTCAATTATCCGGGAATTCATTTATTCTTCATTCAAAAGATTTATCAAATATTAAATTTAGAATAACTGACCTATTTGATTGTGATTTAGAATTTATGAATGAAATATTATGGCAATTTCAAATAGAAAAAATAGCTGATGAGATAACGGATTAAATATTTATTTTTAAATCATAATAAATGATTAAACAACAGCAACCACAACAACTTAAGGCGCAAAACACCCAGGTCCCTCAGACCATTACATACGCCATATATGCATATAATTCAAAGACGGCAGAACAAACGCAAAGGTTGAAATATGGAGATTTGGAGATAGTATTGAAAAATGAACATTTCGAATTCGTTTGCAAAGGTGGTGCAGTGATATCAAATATAAAAGAAATTTTATTTATGAATTCTAAAATTAAAGGTATAACGGATGATATAACATCAATTCCACCAGAAGAACAGAGATATTACGCATTAAATGCATTTCCTAAAGTTTTGAAGATTGGAAGATTTAATTTAAATGAGGAATTCATAGAAGGTTTCCTAAACGACATAATGAAGAAGGCAGATAAGGAATATGTGGATAGTGAATTAATGAAGAAAGCAAATTTGGTTTATGTTGATAGTGAGTTAAATAAGAAGGCAGATAAGGAATATGTTGATAGTGAATTAAATAAGAAGGCAGATAAAACTTATGTGGATGAAAAAGATAATGAAATATATGAAAAAATTAAAGAAAGGGTTGAATGGTATCATAAATGGACATTGAAGACTTTTAAATTTAAAGCTGATACAGGATGGGTTTCAGGATGTTTAGATCTTAAAGCAGATAAAACTTATGTTAACGATGAGTTAAATAAGAAAGCAGATAAGGAATATGTGGATAGTGAGTTAAATAAGAAGGCAGATAAGGAATATGTTGATAGTGAGTTAAATAAGAAGACAGATAAGGAATATGTTGATAGTGAATTAATGAAGAAGACAGATAAGGAATATGTTGATAGTGAGTTAAATAAGAAGGCAGATAAAACTTATGTGGATGAAATATACCAAAGTTTGATAGGAACAACAAAAAATATTGAAACTATTGTTGGGGATGTTTCTATCTATGAAGAAAACAAATATTTTTAGATGGGAGTTTGTACACTCCTTAAAAAATGGTATACGGTGTAAACTCATTCCGAAAAATAACAATGAAATGTATGTAGGCTATATAAAGAATAATGGTACACAAGTTAAAGTTCCATTAGACAACAACTGCTACTTAAACTTATATGGAGACGAACAAAAGAAATATTTAAGAGTTTATGAAATGGCAGGTATGACGTTGGCTGACCCAGCTCCAGCACCATATTATTATGACTATGGAGATGACGACAGAACACCACATGTAGATGAACAAAAACTAACATTATATTTAGATTATTATAGATATAAAAGATATAATGCAATAGAAAAAACGAGAATAGTATATTATTATACAGATGACAGAAATAAATATTATAGTCAAGATTTTACCTACCCTGAAAACATAAGATTATATTATAAAAAATATTCTGACACAAACCAGAAGAAACCTGAAATAGTTACACTATATCTTAAGTTCAAAAGAGACAATCCTATAATATCTCATATGTTTGATTTAATGAACCCAGTAGGTTCTATTTATACATCTATGGATGCAAGAGGTCCTCAAGTAATGTTTGGTGTTGGTGCATGGGAACAAATAGTTGACAGGTTTTTGTATTGTGCAAACTCTTCAAAGGAAACAGGTGGAAGTAAAACGATTTCAGGTGAAAATTTACCCGCACACAGTCACTACGTAGATTTGAGAACATCTCAAGCAGGTTGGCATAAGCATAGATATTGGGATTGGTCAGGAATGACAAAAGGTCGAGGATATGATGTTAAAGATGATGTTAAGTTTGCTATAAATTGTTACTGGGATGACACTCAGGGAGAAGGAAACCATACACATTTCGTTTCAGGATATACACAAACAACGGGACAAAGTAAAGAATACATGCCACCATTTATGACTGTATTCGCATGGTATAGAGTTCAATGAATGTGCTTGACCCAAAGGTCTGGGCTTACCGAATGAACTAAATATATTTTATGTCTGTAATTAATTAGGTAATGAAGTAATGGATGAACTGCAGAAATAAATGTTTACGTTAATGTTTACGTTAATGTTTACGTTAATGTTTACGTTAATGTTTATGTTAATGTTTTCAGGTTATTCAATAATGACTTATTTTTGAAGAACTGAGGGTGTCACCAGGTCACCATGTGTCACCAGGTCATTTAACTTCTCTGAAAAAATGTGACAACATGACATTTTGACAACAACACAGGTTATTCAATAATGACTTATTTTTGAAGAACTGAAGGTGTCACCAGGTCACCATGTGTCACCAGGTCATTTAACTTCTCTGAAAAAATGTGACAACATGACATTTTGACAACATTTACGAAAATTTGATGCAGTCCAAAAATAAAGTTAGTTTTAAAATTATTTTTATTTTTTTATTCCTATATAAATGACAGCAACAAACAACAACAGCAACTTTATCATTTCTGATGAAAAAGTTATTGATTCATTAGCTGAGGAATTAGTTGTGGCAGAAACTAAAACCCTCAACGAAAGAATTGGTGAAAACAAGATTGATTTACATAACTACCTCAAACATGATGGAGGAAGAGGAAGGAAAACTGGTACAGCTTTATTAGTAAATAAAATTTCAAATTTAACGATTATAGATGTTGATATCAATAAATCGTACAATGATGAACTTAAAGAAACAGTTAGAAAAGATATTTTATCAAAACTTTCGGATAAAGATGTTATCGTTAAAACCGCTTCAGGAGGTCTTCACATTTATTGTAACACTAATTTCTTCTATGCAGTTTCGAACAGAATGATTAAATGTTATTCCTGCAATGATTATGATATTGATATCATGACTTCTATGGATGATTCAAAGCGTTCATTAGTGGTTATGGCTGAATCAAGAGTTCGCAAGAATGCAACAGAACCAATCAATACATACTCATTCATTCGTGGAAGTTATGATTCAACATTAACTAGAACAGTGAATGATATATTAAATGATTTGAATATTAAGGTAAGAGTTGAACAGAAGAACGAAGAAATAAAGAGTATAATGAATGAAAACAAAGATGTAAACATTGACGATAAACTTGCCCAGAGCATAGTTGATGGCATCTGTGATTTTGAAGTACATAATGACGGTGGAAACATGAATTTAGAAAAAGAAGTTACATTATTCACACTGTTTCAAGCAATTAATTCGTTACCTAATCATTTAATTAATGAAGCATACGATAACGTTTATAACTTCTGCAGTTTAACAGAAAATGCTAAAAGTAATTTTGAAAAAGCACGTAGTAGATATGCACATTTAATGACTTCTCCATTTGTTTTAGTGAAGATTCTAAAACTTTATCAAAAGGAATATTATGATGAATACGTTTTGCCTTTATTACGTAAGCCAAAAATAACATTTGATATAAAACTTGATGACTCGTTTTTGATAACAGATATTAGACGCAAGGCTGAAAATCATCAGTATAAAAACAGTTCTGAAGTAATTGAGGATTTATCACGTGTAATTCGTTTTGTAGATTGTGGAAACAAATATTTCATTCAGAAAGATTACAACATACACGACAAAATGAATCAAATATCATTCGTTCTTCAATCAAACATGAAAGAGTCACTCAAAATGATTAAATTATTTAAAGAAGAAGGTAAAACCATAACAGCATGGGACGTACTATTAAATCAATTATCCTCATTAACCGTTAAGGGTGTTTGCTTTAAATCTGATTCCCCAGATGTTTTCTCAACGTTTCAAGGTTATAAATACAACATTCTCGAAAAACCAGATTACTCAAAAATTGAGATGTTTATGAATTTCATTAAAGAAGCCATTTGTGATAATAACGATGAAGTGTATAAATACCTTCTCGGCTGGATTGCATCAATGATTCAACATCCTGGAATCAAGAATGAAACAGCAATTATTTTGAAAGGACTTCAGGGAACAGGTAAAAACAGATTTACAGACATTATTTCTGAACTCCTCGCTGGTTATTCATGTAAAAACATTACTGAAATAAGTGAGCTAACGGGTAATTTCAACTCAGTAGTTGAAAATAAAATGTTTCTTGTACTTAATGAACTCAAGAATGTAGGTGAAGACAGACTCGCAAACTTCAACGCTTTGAAATCAATTATTACGGATAATGAGATTAGAATTAATGAAAAGAATCAATCCAGAAGAACTGCTCAGAATGTTGCCAATTTCATTTTCGTAACTAATAACGTCTACCCTGTCAAAATTGAAGTTGGAGACAGAAGATACGTAGTTTTAAGAGTTAATGGTAAATTCAAGGGTCAATTTGATTACTTCAAGAATTTGATGAATTCATGCACAAAGGAATTTTATGATAACCTTTTAACATATTTTATCAATTACGACCTTTCATCATTTAATGTACGAATCATACCGATGACTGAAGCCAAACAAGATTTAATTGAATTATCAACAAATCCTTTAGATGAATGGATAAATACACATTATGATGAATTGTGTGCAGGTATGACGTGTAAAAATGCTCTATTCTGCAAACCATCAGACATGAAAGACAAAAACTTTCAAATGAGTATTAAGGATAAATGTGATAGGAAACAGATAAGAATAGATGGTAAACAAACATGGTGTTATGTTTTGAAAGAAGAAATGAAAGGATTATATAAACAGGTTGAACCAAACGATAATGAGGCAGTATAAAGTATGATTGGAATTTATTTTTGCCTTCCTCTCGTGTTGTTGTCAAAATGTCATGTTGTCACATTTTTTCAGAGAAGTTAAATGACCTGGTGACACATGGTGACCTGGTGACACCTTCAGTTCTTCAAAAATAAGTCATTATTGAATAACCTGTGTTGTTGTCAAAATGTCATGTTGTCACATTTTTTCAGAGAAGTTAAATGACCTGGTGACACATGGTGACCTGGTGACACCCTCAGTTCTTCAAAAATAAGTCATTATTGAATAACCTGAAACCATTAACGATAAAATATATTTTTGGTCGTTAATGACAAATTTTTATCATAAATGAATACCCCACAAGCTCAAAATTTACCACGAATCATAACAAGGGAGGAAATGATAAAAATGATGCGAGAACTTGCTAAAAATAACAAACCACTAAAATTGAGAAAATGTGGTTATGCAGTAATGATGGAAAGAGAGATGTTGTCGAAGAGGAATAAAAATTAAATTTGGATTGAGTTTAAAAATTCATCTTTATTAAATTCATCTCTTCCAATCAATTTATTTATTCTATTAAATTCTTTTATTTTTGCTTCACTCAGTTTAAGGAATGAACGGTAAGTTTCTAATTTTTCGATTATTTCTTTCCTCTCTTTATTGTTTTCAACCCCACCATTGCGGCTTCTTTTTGTAATAGCATATTTTTGATTTAATTCTGTTTAGTTTCTTTTTATATTCATCGTCTGGACTCTTGACTGCTTTGTTGTCACTCATTTCTTACGAAATAAAAAAAATTAAATATTATTTAAATATAATGGAGTAATAAAATAAATCGGAATTTCTATTAATTTATTGTCAACTTCAACTAATGCATTGCCGTTAATATATCTAACAAATTCAGCTATTGTGTCAAATCTTCGTCTTCTTTTTGTCATTGATTTATCAGTTTTTCCATAATCGAGATGAATTAAAACTTTATTTCCTTGTTTAAAATTCATGAGCCCCGAATTAATTTGTTCACGTTTAACATCATTTAACTTTCCATTTGCTTTCTAATATATTCCCATTCTTTTGAAATATCATTTTTCATTTCCACCGGTTTCATGTTTATAGTTCTATGCCATGTATTATTGTAATAATATACTAACTGCTGTATGATGGAGTCATGATTTCCATCCCAGTATATCTGACCGTTAACCCCTAACGCATCTCTAAGAGTTCTCATTACCGCATCAACTATTTTATTATGAAACGTATATGGAGAGGATGAGAAGAAAAAATTAATTTGTGGGAAATAATGAGTCATAGCTGCCTGAAATCCTTTATCACCATCACCCCTGATATTATCTACTCTTTCATGATCTAGTAAGTATTGAATAGCTCTTCTTGTTTCCTGTTCTGTTTTCCCTTTCACCGGAATGCAATATAAATATCTAGTGTTAATGTTAATGGCAAATAAATAAGTAACGTTTCCTTTTGAATATTCCAGATGATCGATTTCGTATGAATATGGATATGGTGCAAATGAAGGGCGACTAAATTTTTCCTTTAACGGTTGAATTTTCGGGTCAATTGGTTTATTTAATATCTTGAAATCCTTTTTAAAATCTTTTTGCTTCTTTAATGTTTGAAATGGATATAATAAAGTGAATGATGAAGGATTAACTGAAGGAGGAGGAGGTACTGTCGTTGGAGGTTTTGGTGTTGCAAGTGGTTTAATTTTATCTGCTTTGATTTTGGATTTCATTCCTTCCTTCATTAATTCTGGATGTATTCTATTCATTTGTTTTAAATATTGCTGTATATAAAGGTTTGATATACTTTCCCGCTTCGAGTTTATGTTGAAGGATGAATTCCAAAAGTTGATCTTCATTTAAAAGTCGGGCTGAATATGGTTTAACTAATGAATCATAAATTAAAGCTTGTGCATCATTTATGGTCTGAAGGACCTGGGTGTTTTGCACCTTTTGTTTTTGTTCCTTTGGCTTTTGCGGCTCAGGATTATATAAATTATATAATTCATCAATATCTTCTTCTGTTAATACTTTATTTTTGAAATCTTTCAACTGTTTAAGCTGTGATTTAGTTTTTCCCTTTGAATATTCATTATTTTTAATTTTGTCTTTAATTTCAGAAATTATTTTATTATGATATTTCAAAATTTCATTTTTATAATATGGATAATAATATTCCATATCATCACCCGTTATATTGTTATCATATTTTTGGAGATATGCTTTTAAATCATAATAATCAAGAAAATTTTGATTAAGTACTAAATCAGCAATTAAATTTTTTAAATCTGTGTTATCCATTTATATAAAAATAAAATCAATGTTTTAAGGGTGCCCACCTCTTTGAATCATAGTATCAAAACCATCATTAACGGTTCCTTTTGTCTCTTCTGTGGTATTTTATTAAATAAATGGCATACAACATCCATTTTCACAACATACAGCCTTAGTGTGTGCTCCTGTTAATGCAGTCTTACCAATTTTAAGCGAGTCATTGACCCATTTTTAAGTTGTAAATTAATATTCTGACCATCAAATATCAATTTATCATTTATTATATCCAAATAATTTTTAGGTGTTAATTGTTTATTTTGTCGTAAACTAACACCTTTCATTTTTTGTGCAATCTTTTTAAAATCACTTCCATCAATTGAACCGTTGAATGATGTATAACACTTAGGACATAAAGCAACCATGTTATCACCTTGTTTCTCAATTGCTAAACCCAATAACTTCTTCTCATGTGCTTTTTCTTCAGCTTTATTCTTTAATTTAGGTTTAAATTTCTCATCAAAACAGAAGAAATCAAATGGTGCGAATTTGAAAATGTTTTTATCATAAAATTGTTTATCAGTAACAATTGCTTGAAATGCTTGAGTGTTAGGAAGATTTGGGTCGCCAGCGATTGCCCAATAAGATGAATCAGTATCACCTTCAATGAAATGAAAACGATTAACATTCAAGCATTTATACATAAAATCATAAATGAAAACCAAATACCAGTATTTTGCGTTATCTAAAGTGAAGAATGCCTCTTGTAAACATGTATCACATCTATAAAATCTATCTTTAAGCATCACTTGATATGTATCCTCACCTATTTCTCTTATGTTTTTAAACTTATTTGACATACATGCAACGCGTGCCTTTTGTGCATTAATTATTTTAGTCTTTGTGTAATTTTGTGTATTCATTGCATCGTAACCATATGATCCATTAAGTGAAATCTTGCAAAATAAACTTTTTCCTTTATTTCCTTCTAATTCAGCCTTTTGTCTTTCGTTCATAAATTCTTTCGCAAATTCATTAAAACAAGTGTTTTTAGTAAATGTTAAAATTGATTGAATGTCATCAATGATAAAATGAAATCTATCTATTAGATACCATAGATAATAAGAAGAAAATGGTTGATATTGGTTGTGTGTTGATGCTAACTGAGTTAATTTTCTCTGTTTCTGGTCAACTGGTAGATTGTTTGATTTCATGTAATTATACATAAAACTGCCAATTGTTTTTTCATCTGTGATAATATCTAAGTTTCTTATTATCGGTAAAAAGTTTATGTAATCATTAATGTATTTTTCATCAATGTGACCCTTTACTTCAGCCACGAATAAAGTATTTTTCTTCTTAATTATTCCCAGTGCTTTTGCTTTCTTTGTTGCTGTATCACAAATGATAACTCCATTCAATCTTCCCGGCATATACATTTTATGGTCAGTATATTGAATGAAATCATGAGGATTAGATGAAAATGATGAAGGATATAATGAATTAAAGTCAACTCCAACGAAATGAGTCATAATGTTGTTGGTGTCCTCATTTAATACAGTTTTAGTTTCTGGATTATATGAAAGTTTATTAATGTGCGTGATTCCTTTAAGATTAACACGATGTTGAACATTTGATAGACCACCAGTAATTCCATTACGGAGAATGTGATAAGCTTCAACTGAATCTAAAGTCATTGGTAAATTATTTTTTAATGCATAATTTCTTAAATTGATTCTTAAACGTTGAACATCTTCATCTTTATTTGATTTTACGACATTGCAATAACAACACATTAACTGACAATTTTCTTTGGTATGTGGTTTTTCATTATCGATTCTATCCAATGTTGGTTTATTTGCATATGTAAACGCTTTACCACACATTTTGCATTTAGATGAAAGGATTAAATCGTGATAGTATTGATAGTCATCCATTGAAACATTGTTTTTGGTATCTCTTTTCGCCTTTTCATCTTGTTTCTTATATGAATCAATTTTATATTTCCAATACTTTTTCGTTAATTCAAAACTTGATTCTATCTCTTCCTCAGGATATTTTTCATTAGGATTAAAGTCTTTATATGCTAAAGCGTAACGAATCATTGAAGCATTCGATGATAAAGAAAGATTATGAAGCATATCAATTTTATAAACAAATGTTTCTTCAATAATTTTATCAATTGGGTCAATCATAATTTCAACGTCTTTATTGCAATAATGAATAAAATATTCTAATCTATTCTTAAAATTTTTAGCATCATTGAGATATATTTGATAATCTGAATCGGATATTGTTTCTTGTGTTAATGCTGAATAAAATGAATCTTTCGTGAATGGTTCCTTTTTATATAATTCTTCTTCGTAATTCTCCCATGTGATGAATTGATAAGGGAAAAAGGATTTAACACGTGATTTATTGTTTCCGAAATCTTGAGTGAATTGGTCTAATGTTCCACCCGCTATATAATTTCTGATGTCAATAAATCTTAATTCATATGGACAGTTTGTTTTCTTTACTATGACTTGCTTAAATTGAGAAGAAGAACCCAGCATTGATTTTATCTTCCATTTTGCAGTATTTAAATCACGAAGAATTAAATTTAAATCAAACTTTCCCGAATTAAAACCAATGATATTCACTTTATTAAATTCTTCATCTAAAAGCTCTTTAAATGCTTCCTTCTGTTTTTCATTTAATGTATGGGACAAAGTCCCCGCCGTTTGCGGCTTCATTAATTCTTCATATTGTTCAATATTTGATTTAGCAACTAATGAACAGGTTGAAAATAAAAATTCAATCCAATCAGAGATGAACGAATCACTTGATGTTAAGCAAAAATTCCTCGTAAATGTTTTATCACGGTCTACGACCTCGCCGCTTTGCGGCTTTATTTTGACAGTTGATGATATCATAAATGGTTTTAAGTAAGCGTTCAAAGTTGCACACTCAGAAAGTTGTAATTCTTCTTTAGTCTCTAATGTTTCAAAGTCAAAAGTAATATAATATCTTGTTGGTTTATAATATTCCTGCAAATTATGTGCTAATAGCCATTGATATATCTTCTGTTTCGTGATATGTGGTGCATATGGTTGTTGTGTGTTTTGCAATTGAACGTCTTGAATTAATCTTCCATTATTTTCTTTACATTTCTCACAATGTTTTAAAAATCTTCTTTGGTTTTTCCTTTCCGGATCATCACGGATAGAATATACTTCTTCTTTGCAAAAGGGGCAAACTTTATATCCTGTGAGTGCTTCAACGTCTGTAATTCTGTCAGCGTGAAGTTTTCCACATGGACTCTGTGTTAATAAAATATTTACTGTTTCAAATTCTGGATCTATCATTATTGATTCCACTAATGGAAAGTCTACCTTGTTAATGTCTACGTCTTCTGGTTGAGGGTCACAATAATAAAAATCAATATTAACGTTTAACATTCTTGCTAACCTCTCACTTTCTGATGAAATGTCAAATCCTTCATATGCATCTATGGCTTCATTTAAATAACTTCTACGAGTTTTAGGATTAACACCATCAGGAATGTTATAGAAGTGTTTAAATAACCTTCTACCTTCGGCTCTTATTTGATTATCATTCATTTTAGCTGTTCCATTTTTATTCATTTATGTAAGAATAAAAATTAAAAAATAAATAAAAATAAAGTTTATTTTTTTTAAAGTCCGAGACTCAGAGAGTCCAGGGCTAAAGTCCATAAAATGAATTAAGAACACATAAATTTTTATCATCTGCGACGTGACGAATACATTTTAATTTACTCAAGAATGCGTACCCTGATACATTAAATCTAATTCCTGTCTTATTTAATTTCACAACTTTGAAAAGGAATGTATGAATAGCTATAAAATGATGAGAAGATGTTTTATGGGTTGCTTCCATTTTTTCTGAAATAAATGAATAAATATAATGTTTATAAGTTTTCATATCTTTTATGTTCTTAATAACGAATGGTATAGACCTTTCAACTTCGTCTTCCTTCGGTGCTGTTCTTTCATATGAAACATTATTGGTATCTTCAATAATGAAACCACAATCGCATAAAATTTTATATGTACCAATTGTTTCTTTTGATATTTTATCTAACAAATCAAAAACTTTATCAACACCTGTACATTTATTTAAATAATAATTTGTGTAAATATCATGGTCTTCTTTCTTAATCGTATTTGTTGCATATGTTACATTTTTCAGTGCTTTTTTGAATTTTTCAGAATCAAGAGGAGGTGAAAGTAATATACATGGATAATCTCCATCGTCAATAAACTGAAGCTTATGTTTATGAATAAATTTTGTGCCTTCTTCTGAAAGTGTTTCGTCAATATCACCATCTAATAAATTTTTAGTAGATTCCAAAAAGTAATTTTTATATCTTTCCTCATGTGATTTTTGAACTTCTGATTCTGAAGCTGGGATATTCATTAAACCCTCTACTTCATTCTCAGCATTTCTCAATTCACTAATTCTTTCATCTATTTCATTTCTTAATTGTTCCAATTTCTCAATCTCATCGTTATAATATTCATCTTGTTTAATTTTTTCTTCAAAATATTCAGGAGGTGTTTCAAGGCTCTCTGAGCCCAGGTCCTCTGGACCATAAAGAGGAATATTCTCCTGTTTTTCAACTTTTTTGGGATATAAATATCTCATTATAGCTTTTTTGTAATTGGTCCGTTATATTTAAATTCATTCAACAATCTGGAAAACTCTTTCACATTCTGCATATATGTTGGATAAGAACCGTCTCCAAAATTTTCTAAAATATTTTCTAATTCTGAATTAGTGAACTTTAAAGATTTCAATGAATTAGTTGTTATACTCATTTATTATAAAATAAAAAATAAAAAAAATAAATTTAACTTAGTTTTAATTTTACGTAAGAAGTCAATTTTTTATATACCGTCATTTGTAGGTATTATTTCTATCAGATAAAAATTATTTTTTTATTTAAAAAATATAATTTATTTTATTTTTTAAAATATCATCGGTGATATTTTGGAATCACATGTTCAGGCTTCAAATAATTTTCAATAAGAAATTTAACAAAATCTTTATATAAAGTCTTTTTTTCATTTAGTCTGTGAAATTCGTCACATACATCATCTAAGTATATTTCTACTATGCACGGAAATTTAATCTTTCCGACCTTTATAATAGGTTTTATATTTTGCAAGAATATATTCTTTGACTCCGGTATATAATCGTTTTTTCTACAAAATTTTATATATTCTTCATATGTATCCCTTTCCTTTATTTTAAGTTCTACATGTAGTCCATACACGTTTGGGCAATAATAGATATCAAAAATGAAAAATTTTCTATTTGTCATCTTTATATAAAGATAAAAAATATTTTTGATTAATAAGGAATTAATTTCATTTTATGTCTTATAATGTGCGCATATGTATTTAAAAGGCATTCATTGAATTGCTTTTCAATCTCTTTCTTTTTTCATCTTCGAATATTATATCATTTTCATGTTCGAAGCTTGTAAGTTTGTTATCTTCAAATATTATATTAGTTTCATATATCAAATTATGATATTGGTCATATTCTTTTAAGTGATAAATAAATACAAAATTTACGGTTCCTTTAATTTTAAATTCAAAATTAATTTTACAACAGCTTTGTGGATCAATTAGTAAATCAATCAAATAATGTTCAAAATCAGATATTATTCTTTTTCCATACATTTTATATTAAATAAAAAAATCTAACTTTATTTTTTCGGAGTTTTGTGACGAAGTGCGAATCTTCACTTCGTCAAAAATATATTCTTTTTATTAATGGTAATATAGGAATTGTAGGAATAAAAACTTTTTATAAATTATTCATAAATTTTTAAAATCTGCTATTCGGAAGTATGTTCAAAAATCATTCAATTATGTGAGAATTCTTACGATTACAAAAAAAGTCACACAACCCGCATTCATATACTACTAATGTGGGCATCAATAATTAATTAGTTCTTAAGGGTTTCATATGAACCATATGTTTAATATTCTATAACTTGAACTTTTAAAACAAGAAGTACACATAATTTCTTTAATATTATTTTATCAAATTTTATTTCTCGAAATATCCGTTCAGATACTTATTGATTTGATTGCTCTCAACAATCAAATGACTATCTTTGAGATAAAATGTCATAATTCAATAATGAGAAAAGTTTCATTTTAGCACTTCTTTCTTTTCTTTTTAATAGGCTAAAGTTCTTTATCCTATGGCAGCTAATTGTTATTATAATATGGATTATATTAGAATATTTGCTTAAAATTCCAGAAATATTAAACTTTGATGAAATTAATCCTTCAATATTCATTTGTAACCTTGTTATTAATACAAATAACGTTTCTAGAATCAAAACATCAACATTATATTGGGGTCAACAAGTTAAACAAGTTTTTTCTAAGAGTGAATACAAAATTTATTCATCATATCAATTAAATACAGATCTTGACTATGTTAAAGTTTCAACACCTCCATGTCCAGATTCATTTCGACTTATTTACTTGTTTATCAAAAGTTTAGAACATTTTGTTTCAGAAACGAAAGCGAAATGGTACATTCGAACTACAGAAGATGTTTACATAGACATATTTGACTTAAAACGATACTTGAAACATCTGGAATCTAAGTACAATCCAAACATTGACATCATTTACAAAGGTCATTTTATTTTAAGTGACAAATTTCTTCATGGTGGATCAGGATGGCTTCTTTCACGATTTGCCGCTAAAAAACTTTTATCTTTTATGAAGAAACATCGAATCAAAATTGATGACACGGGCGATGACTATCATATGAAATATTACATGTCAATGTTTAACATTTCAGACAAATCTTTCTATACATCATCATTTTATGGCTTTCCTTTATCAAACATTTCTATTGATCGATTATTAAGTGAAAACTTTGAACATCTTCCAGAATGTCGAGGTAAAGTTGAAAACAGGATTGACAACATCATTGTTTGGCATTCAGGACGACAAAATTTAGAAACTATTTTTTATGGTTCCAAATTCAAGAAAATTATCAATCCACACATCTACATCTACCAAAACAAACAATTAACTTCTGATTTATGCTTTGACTCTAACACTTCACTCATTCCACATTGGCTTGAAGATTGAAATATTATTAATATAGAAATTAAATAATTTCCCATATTTTTAGGTTAATCTCTTGCAAATTTTATTTAAAAAAATCACCCAATGTCATATGGGCCTAATTCTACTTTAAAATTCACCCAATCTATTAATAAAAAGAACATTTATAAAATTTTATTTATTTAATGACCAAATTGAAAATGATGAAATATGAGATATATCAAGAATGTTGTGGCATCGGTATTCATAAAAATTTACAGAGATGCAATAATTTTTCAAATTGTTTAATTTTTTTATGTCATTTTCTTCTTCAAATTTATTTTCAATTTTATTTACTGCTTCACAAAGTCTTGTAGAAAGATGTGGTAATTCGTTGTAGTAATTGTTGATTGAATTTGTTATTGTTAAACCTCCTGCTCGTCCATCATAATCACTATTAATGATTGTAGCTGAACATGAATAATAGTGTAAAAAATAAAATGTTTGTGTACAATTATTATTTTTGATTGAACAAGATTCAAATGTAACTGTTGCTGATGATAACCAAAAACATTGATTATTAGCATTGTTTCTAATGATATTACATAAATAAAATTGATGTGGACCACTAGAACCAGTACAAAAGCATCCTTCGTTTGCTTTGTTATCAATGAAAGATGATTGACTGATGTTATATTTCTGTTTTGAAACTATTTGAAGTGAAACATCTTGAATACATTTGTTATTTGTTATGTTATTTCGTGAATAACTAACATTTCCGTATTCTAAATAATTAGTTGAATATCCTACATTTATTGAATCTCCACAATCAAAGACTGTTGAATCTTGAAAAATGTTTTTGTTGTTTGGATTTGATTCTGATATTTTTGAATATAAAAATCCTCCTTCACTACCATATCCTGTTGGTAAAGATTTTGTGGCACATGTTCGATAGATAACACAACTTCCTTGATAAGAATAAACTGTGTGAGTTGCTTTTGTGCCATTGAATCCAGAAATAGAAATAAGAAGTTTTGTTTGATCACCTTTGTCTATATTGACAACAACACCTTGAATTCCATTGAATAAACATGTTGTAACATAATAATTTCCTGCTTCTGTTGGATTTAATTTTTTGTTTTCGGTGTTACTTTCAGTGATAACTTCATTCTCATAAAAAAGTGTCCATGTATCAAGGCTTGGACCTGAATAGAAGAGTAGTATCAATGATTGCTTCATTTTCATATAATTGATAAAAATATTTGATATAATTAGGTACAAAACGATGTTGAAAAAAACAAAGAATAGTTTTCATTTAATATTAACATAATATTATTGAAGTGTAAACAATGTATAATTAAAGTTGACATTTCATTATCATTATCAAGGGAAATAATCCCTTGAATTTGACGACTAAAACATTTTCGTCACTTTTTGGTATTGGATTTTTTTTCTCATTATTTTTAACTTTTATTGACACATCTAAAAAATACATCTCTCCACTAACTTGAATTATAACTCTACAATATATGTAATCGCCGTAGATTTAAAAAATGAAAATATTAGATTTAAAGTAAAGTAGAAAAATCTTTATTAATCAATAATATAAATTAATTTGCGTTATGGCTGTACCAAATTTCGAACTTAGATTGTTCTTTAACAAGATTTACGGCCTGTTCTGCACTAACTGATGAAAGTAAACGCTTAAGATTTGTACCCAAAACACCCTTTTCCTGAAGTAACTGTTTAAGTTGGCCCTTTGGAGAGTTGTCTTCAACTGGTTGATATTGCCTTGCAATGGTTGTCATAGAGTTCTCCATCAAGTTACCTGCAATTGCTGGAACAGCGGATGGACGTGGATGGGTGTTCTTCACTTTAACACGCTCGTGAGCTGCTTTAGTCTGGAAGAAGCCGACGTATGGAAGATCGCCATGAAGACGTTCAAGCATAGCCATTTCAATAGCGTTCTGTGCATCTTCCTTACTCTTGTAAAGAACAAAACCGAAGCCCTTAGACTCCTTAGTCTCTGGAACACGTTCGATCTTGAACAACTCGATTTCACCGAACTTAGAGAAGTATTCTTGGAACTCTTTATCGGTGACATCCTTGGAGAAGCTCTTGACATAAAGGTTACGACCATTAGTTTCTTCTGCAAACTTCTCAACTTTCTCTGTATGTTTCTTGATGTTGTAGAGCTCTTTCTCGCGCTTAGACATAAGACGGTTAACTTGAAGAGTGACACCAAACATTTCTTGGCCGTTAAGACCTTCGACTGCTTTAACTGCATCTTCGTGCAATTTGAAGTTGCAGAAACCGAAACCCTTCGAGTTGCCGTTTTCGTCTTTCTTAAGACTTGGATTCTGAATTTCACCAAATGGTTCGAAGATTTTACGAAGATCTTCGTCTGTCTTAACTTGGTCAACTGGAAGTGGTTTGATGTAGACGTTTGTGAAATCTTCATCTGGATTGCGTCTTGACTTGCGGTTGTAGTTGTCAATCTTGATTGGTTTGCCGTTGATTGATGCATCCGCAAGTTCAAGTTTAGCTTTCTCAGCGTTTTCTGGGTTCCTGAACTGGATGTAGCCATAACCACGTGACTTTCCATCAGTCAATGGAATCTTGCATGAAATGATTTCGCCAAAGTTAGAGAAAGCGTCGTGAAGCTGTGAAACTTCGATGCTTTCATCAAGACCGTTGATGAAAAGAGAGCCTCTGCCTGACTTGATGATGGCCTTTGTCTCTGTGTCGCACCAAAGAATACGGATTGGTCTTCCATCAAGCTTTGTATAGTTCAAGTTCTTCATAGCCTTAGCAGCTTGCTCATGTGTAGCGAATGTAACGAAGGCAAATGATGAGTCAAGAGTTTTATGTTTCTTGAGAACGATGCCGGAGTTTGGAATGATTTCACCGGATTCGGCGAAGAATTGTTTAAGGAAGCTCTCATCAATATCCTTTGGAAGATCACCAACAAAGATCTGTGTTGTGAGTGTTGCCATTCTGTTTTTTGATAGAAAGTGGCTCTCCTTTATTTTTGTAAACTCAATCTTGGTCCAACAAAAAAAGTTAAATATTTTGTTAGCCATAGTATATATAACATATTTTGAAATTTTATCAGAATTTTTTTTCAATGGGATGAAAATTTTGAATGAACCCAATCGAATATCAATTTATACTCCATATATAAATTCTTGATGACATAGATGATTATGTTAATAACATTTCGCTCAAAAAGACCCAAAATTTCAATCAGAAATAATTTTCCTTTGATAATATTATCTTATTGATGTGATGTAATCCATAAACTTAGAAAAATAAACATACTCAAATAAGAAATAAGTGATTTTAAAGTCAATATCCTGAGATTATAAACAAAACTTAGATTTTTTTATGATGCTTTGCAGGAATAGCTAAACAAGAATGGTAACTTTTGGATAGATAAACTTTTTTGACCTGATATCCTAAATATAATGTTGACGAAAGATTTTGTTGTAAATAAAATAAACTGCTGATAACTTGATACTTACATGACAGAGAAAAACCATTCAAGGATTGTATTGTCTCGATAATTCATAAAATAGGAAAAATTAATTTTATAAGTTTTTTAACTGGTTTAAGATAATGTTTTGATTCTTTTGAGTTATGCATTAGTTAATAGAAGTAGTTAAAAAAATATTCTTAAAAAATTATATGAGATCTTCCAATTTAATCGCAATTTAGAGGTGCTTGTTGATGGCCTTGATGATTTCCTCAGCCTTAACCTGGTTAGCGAGGTTGGCGAAGAAGAATGTCTGAGCATAGAATGACTCACCGAGGTGTGAGACAGACTTCTGCAAGTGGCGAAGGACGGCCTTGTAGTTATCCCAATCCTTGATGTCGACAGCACCATTAGCTGGGAGTGGCTTGAATTCCTTTGTGAGGGAATCGATGAGAGCCTCCATCTTCTTTGTGGAAGCCTTCTCGAGTTCAGCGAAGAGGATGGCCTTGACGTTGTTCTTCTTCATAGAGAGGGAGGAAAGCTTGGCCTCTGTTTCCTTAGCGTGGAGAACGCCACGGGAGAGTGGTGCAACAACGTTCTCAGAGACCTTGTTTGGTGTACCGAGGAAGAGGGAAACTGGGAGTGTCTTGAGGGATGTATCACCATATTCCATGACATGGGACTGCTTGACGCCGTTCTTGATTGGCTCGAAGGAGTCGCCGATTGTGCATGTTGGGTGGGCCTGCCAGTAGAGCTGGGAAACAGCAGAGAATTCGGATGTAAGGTACTCACCAAGAGAATCATCCCAGATATCAGCATAGGAGGACTCATGGTCGTTAGCAGCTGTCATCATGTAAAGCTTTGGAACACCAGCAACAACCTTAGCAACGGAGCCAGCGTAGCAAGCTGTGATTGGGAAGAAGCAGTTCTTGTACATTCCCTTGTCGTGCATTGTCTGGAGAGCCTGCTTGAGATCGTTAGCATAGATGTAGTCGCCGCAGCCATCTGGAACGCCGAGGATGCCGTCACCACCGTGGTTATCGAAGAAGATCATGACGTTATCGTTGGCTGTTGACTGGAGAGCTGGGCCCTGGGAGTTATCGCCTGTAAGAACCTTGTAGAAGTTGGTAGCTGTAACCTTGCCGGCTGTGTACTTAACATTAGCACGGCCTGGGTAGACGTTCAAGTGATCAAGTGAGCGGAAGATTTGTCCCTTGAATGGGTTTTCAGCATCATTAACGATATCATCGTAGCACATAAGGATGATCTTATCCTTATCGAGATTGTTGACTTCAGCAATGAGATGGTACATGTAGTAGGAGTCAGCTGTGTGACGGTAGTTGTAGAAGTCGCGTGAGCCGCAGAAGATGACAGCCCATGTGTCGCATGATGCGAGGGAAGTTAAAAGGGAAAGCATCACCTATTATTGGAAAATTGAAAGGGCAGTTAGAAAATTGAGAAGAGTTCATATCAGAGTCAAGATTTCACTTCAAGTTTTAATATATAGCTATAGTAGATGGTGTTGCACTGACTATGACTCTTTTCAAATTCGATTATGTCATCTTTTTGGGGTTGTATTATTGTCGTCTGGCGGTTTTAGACGACAATGCGAATCTCAGGATTGGTGTGTTTTTTAACTAAATTATTTATATGGTTTAAATAAGCAATATTTATATAAATATTTCATATAGTTATTAAGGATATATAACATATTTTTACAAATAATATATTATGAATATCTTCAAAACATCTTTTTAACATATAAAATCATGCGCACACATTGTAAATAAGCTATATATGAAAATACAATTCTTCACATAGCAAGAAATAGCTTTATTATTCTGAAATAAATATCGCATTTTATCAATTTGTTGTTCTTTATGATTTGATCTTCTCATGCATTAATATAGCATATGACCTATATGTTCTTTATAGAATTAGTAGGTAAAATTTGGTATATGCACCCTTTAAAAATGTGTATTTAAACCACAAATTCAATTATTTTTCATGATATCAATAGTTGCGTTTTCCTAACACAATAATTCTTATTATTTATGTTTTAAACTAATTGGCAATATAAATGGAAATATGTTATATAATATTATCTTAGTTAAATAGATTTTAATATAATATTACCTTAGAAAATGATATATAACTTTGCTCATGAACATCATTTTGTATACCATTAATTGAGTTATTCCAACGCATAAGGCAAGAATCAATTAATTTTAATTAAGCTAAATAATTAATAATAGTGATTCTATGAATGGTAAAAAATGGTTGTGTCGGTATTTTGGTGGTAAATATTCATAATAATAATTTAATTTATTTATTTTAAAATTTTATTAATTCTAATCTCTATATTGCTCTAAATATCAATAATAGCTTATTAAAGGCATTATAATATACAAATGCAAACACAATTAAACAATATCTCGTAATTCCCCTTTTTTAAGATATGTATCCAAGTTTCTATCGTTGTTTCTTGAATATATATATATCAAAGATATGAATAGCGCTGGTTTTGTGATTGCATAAACAACTTATATATCAATATACTCAGTATAAGTGCATATATACATGGTATAATTTGGTTGTCCACCGAATGTATGCTCATATGGTGGATTACTTGCACTTTTTTTCTTTGATGCAAATGTGTCAGATACAATTCCTGATTTGCTCATACAGGTGCAGGGTCCTAGTGATAGACCCTGCAAATACATGAGCAAATCAGGAAAAACTTGCACTTTTTTTCTTTGATGCAAATGTGTCAGATACAATTCCTGATTTGCTCATACAGGTGCAGGGTCCTAGTGATAGACCCTGCAAATACATGAGCAAATCAGGAAAAACTTGCAATTGATCTGAAGAATGTGAATCTAGCCTTATATTTCAGAAAATGATTTTATATTTGCAAGGAATGAGCATCATCCTATGCAAAGGTAAACTCATTTTAGAAAAATTTCTTTTTTTTTGGAAATGATTATTCTCAAATTCTATCTAAAACTCTCAATTAATAATCATATTCTCATTTAAACCTAGGGCTGTACAAAATCGAGAAAGCATTTGCCGTGCGGTAATATAGGGTCAAAACTATTGATGTGGCGGTAAAATCACGGTAATTCACGGAAAGCTATATGCGAAAATTTGAAATTATACAAAATCGAGCGAAACACTTTTAAATAGGTTGTTCTCGTATTTAAAATACTATTCCCAGATTTATTGTCGTCAGAATATTTCCAAATTTTTGCCGATTTACAAAAAATGATTTACAAAGCATATTTTTAATCTAAAAAATTTCTTAAAAAAGGGACCGGTGTGCGGAAACCTCGGTAAATTACCGCGGTTCCCGTTGGGACTGCCATATTTAAACCATATATAACATTACTTTATAAATCTCGATTTTTCCAAATTCTTAATTTTCATATGAAATTTATAATTTTTTATTTTAAATTCAGAATTTTGAATTTTTTTTGGAAATTTTTATTTAATTTTATGTTTATTTTATTATATTCTTTATATATAACAATTTTTTCAAGTTTATTTTTTCAATATATACGATAATTATTAATTCAATTTTTAAACAAATGTTTTGATGGGACGAGCTTAAAGATCATAGGCTCATCCCATCAAAACATTCACTTAAAAACTCTGGCCTTTATCGAGGCCAGAGTTCACAATTCATATCCTCGAAGCCATGTTCCTCACGGTCGTCCTCATTAGGCACGATCCGAGAGGAACTTGGCTCTGAATGAAACTCACAAGCTCTGGCTTCAGGAAAGGCCAGAGCTTCGCAAAGCATCCTCGGGGCCGGTTTCCTCAAAGGCCGCCCTGATTCGGGCGGTCGGAGAGGATTCCAGTCCCGAGAGAACGTCCCTACGAAGCTCTGGCCTTATCAGAGGCAAGAGCCTGCAAGATCAATCCTCAGGGCCGAGTTTTTCCATCTTCGTCATCATGGTAGATGATCTCGTGAGAACTCGGCCCTGAAAGACTTCATATTACAGGTCCTGGCCTCATGAGAGACCAGAACTTCGCAAATAATGCTCAGAGCCGGCTTTCTCAAATGTCGCCATGATCTATGGCGGCAGGTGAGGAATCTGTCCCTAAAAACATATTATTACGAAGCTCTGGCCACAATGGAGGTCAGAGCCTGCAAGATCAATCCTCAGGATCGAGGTTGAGGGAGATCGTCCGCATCATTGACGATCTCCTATCATCTCGATCCTGAAAGACTTAAAAATGCAGGATCTGACCTCTACAGATGCTACAACCTCGCTTACAGTTCTCAGAGCCAGCTTTCGCAAATGCTGCCATGATCTATGGCGGCAGGAGAGGAATCTGGCCCTGAGAACGGACCATTACGAAGTTTTGGCCACAGTAGGGACCAGTTCCTGAAAAAATACTCCCTTAACAATAAATTAAGATTTATTTTATCCAAGAAAGCCTTGAAGGAAGTCCAAACCATGAGAATGGGCTTCCTTCCAGGCTTACTGGTACTACTGGAGCGATTTTTGCTTCCATTGCAGCTCCTGAAATATATACTATAAATTATATTAAAAACATTGAGAATTTTGATTTCTATTTCATATGTCCAGCCTATAAAAGCATAGTAATGAATATTCCTGGCTCAAATCAGTTGAAAATGCAATTTTGTGCTGAGATTTCCAAAATTGGTTATAAAACTAGACTATTTTAATGAAGAAAACCAATAATAGGATCTCAAGTAGTAATATTCATTATGTGTTGTATAAAATAATTAATTCAAATATATAAATTAAAAATGAAACTATTTATATTCATTTTATTAAATTATCTATTGTTCACAGTAAAATCTAACTATTTCACATTTCAATAACCTGATACTATTGCTCAAACTTTAATAATTGCAATAATAAAGTTTTGGAATATATTCTCTATATTCATTCTGTGAGATACACAAATAAACACATTAGAAGTAGTATAGAAACATATATTACAATTATAACACAATGTCAAACACATCTCTTACCATTTAATAAAATTAGATAAAGAATCTCCAAAAATTAAAATATGTGTTTTTGCACTTATTTCTATATTTTATGCATTACTATAGGTATTCCGATATGAACCAATGAATTTTATCTGTTATATGTCAAAAACAACTTTAATCTAATGTGATCAAGTTGCATGATATACAACCATACATCCACTGCATATCCACATGATTCTATATATAATAGAGCATGTTCCTATCTAAATTAAAATGTTAGAAATGAATTGTACGAATTTTAAAACAAAAATTATTATTGTCGTCTGACGACAATAATAATTTTGTCACTTTTTCTAGACGACAATAAAACATCCTCCATCTTTTTATAATGGATTATGAAATCTGATTAAGCTGATACTAATTATCTGATTATTAATAAAAAGGATAATATTTTTCAGAAATTTCAGAACCATAAAATCCTAACTCTAGTGAAATATGCAACTTTATATATAAATAAAACCGAAATCAAAATCGTCAGAACTTTTGAAAACTATTGAAAATGTCCATCAATGATTCTGTTGCATGCTAAGTTCGGTCAACGATAGAAATTGAGTGGAAATTAATCGTCTAGGAAGTACGATTATGTAAAGTAAAAAAATGTTGTGGGATTTTTAATATTATATATTATTTTATAATAAAATTTTTTTGAGTCGTTTTAAGAAGCACATATAATTTTTTGAATTTAAAAATTAAAGTAGTGTCAAACGAATTTATCACTTAATTTAATACTCAGATTTCTTAAAATTAATGAAAAAAAGGTTTTCTGAGAACTTTTGAGAATGGTTTTCAAATTCCATTATTGAAATATATAGGTATTGTATGAAATTCAAACTCTATATTTATTAAAATTCTAAATTTTTAATAAAATAACTTTTCAGAGGAATATGATTTTGAATGGTTGATTAATAAGTATAAAAATGTCTACGATTTTAAGGAGGGAATTGTTCCTTATGAGGTATACATCATAACTATATACCTCATAAGGAACAATTCCCTCTTGATAGCTGGGAAACTTTCTCTGAATAACTTATCATTTGGAGAAAGTTTCCCAGCTATCTATTAGAAACTAAAGGCTGTGAGGCCTAATATATAATCAGTGCCTCATAGCCTTTAGTTTCTTATTAAAAACGAGAAAACTTGTTCGAAATGATAAACAATTTCGAACAAGTTTTCTCGTTTTAAGGAGGGAATTGTTCCTTATGAGGTATACATCATAACTATATACCTCATAAGGAACAATTCCCTCTTGATATCCTGGATATTTTTGAATATATTTTTTTAATTAAAGTTCTCAAAAGTATTATCAAAAGTGATTTTTTAAAAAATATCTCCAATTAATTAACTAATTAAAAGTATTATATTTTTAAAATTAAATAGTTTTTCAATTTTTTTGAAGGAATTGAGATACTTCCCACGACAATAAAATTGAGAGGTTTACATTATGACTGATCTTAGCATGCAACAATTCTTCATTTCAAGTTAAAAAATGAATACGTTTACAGGTTTGCTATAACTTAAATTTAAATCAGATTTTTAATATTCGTTGTGATATGAACTAATGTTTATAAGGGAATGCATAGATCTTATCTATTCCTACAGGAATTTTGCATTTTGTTCTATTATTTCTTTCTTATTTTTTCATCTATATTAAAAAGATTTGCTTATTGGTTTTTGGATTTAAATGTACACTTTGTTAAGTCCATAACCAAGTGCTACAAGCAATTTAATTACATTTATAAATATTTCAAATAAAATTAGAATAATATCAAGTATAAAATATGTAAAACAGAAGTAGATAAATACGATGATAGAATAAGCAATTTATTGAAGTTCGTCAATATATTTGGTAAGAGTGTCGACATCAGCTCCAACAATTGTTCTGATTTCTTTGAGTTCATTACTACCAGACTTTTTGAAGAACTTAAATTGTGGAACAACTTCGACTTTGAAATGTTCAGCAAGATCAGGGGATTCGTCAACATTAGCTTTCAGTATTGTTACCTTTGGATAGGCTTCAGCAATTTTTGGAAGTATGCGACCAATGTTTTTGCATGGTCCACACCAATCAGCAAAGAAATCAACAACAACTAAGCCATTAGTGTTATCAACAAGTCCTTTGAGGTCAATATGTGAACCTTCAAAATGGTCTAGAGCAAAACGTGCAAAAGAAGATATCGAACTGAGCATTTTTATGTAAAAATGAAGTGAAACTGTAAGATTTTCAATAAATTTTGCAAAAAAAAACTAGCAATTGCTACTACACTCATTTTATTTACAATTCGAACTGATATTGGGCAAAAAATTAGGACAAATTTGCCACACGGCACTTTTTTAAAAAAAAATTAATGGAGCGGAGCGATACTCTGCTGCAGGAGCCCCAAGGCTCCCAATCATTACGAAAGGGAGCCTCAGGGCTCCTGAGAATCCATCAGCAGAGGCCTTTTCATTTGGCCTCTGCTGATCAAAGATTCGGCGAAGCCATTCTTCGTCTCAGGAGCCCCAAGGCTCCCAATCATTACGAAAGGGAGCCTCAGGGCTCCTGAGAAACCTCTTTGAGAAGGTTTTCTTTAAGAAAACCTTCTCAAAGATGATTGTCAGCATTCACTCAAAATCTACCAAGAGTTTCAAAGTTTCAAATCTATCTGAAATGAAGCTTTGAATCTCTTGTATATCTAATTGTAGAGGTACCTTTTCAAAATGTCTTCTATTGATTAAATTTAATCAGTAAAAGTCATTTTGAAAAGGTACATCTTTATAATTGCTATTGAGCATTCACTCTTGGAACCTTGGAGCTCTTGTGTAGTGCATGAAAACTCCAAGATTCTAGCATAAAACATATATCATAGACATAATTTCTTCAAATATAATTTAAGGTTATTTTTAAAAAAAATTAGAAAAGCGTAGTTTAAGGTTATTGAAAAAGTGACAGTTGGCAAATTTGTCCCGCACTCTTAAGGCAATATCAGATACCGTAGCTATGAAGTGCTATGTTGTGGTTTGAAACGATATTATCATATTTTCACTTATTAATTAAGATGGAGCTGAAACAAATCAATATTTTTCATTTCTTAAATGCATAATGCTATTTTTTAAAAAATCAATAGCCTCTTTTCGATAAGAATATTTTTGAAATTTTTATTTTATCGATAAAATATCAAAATTGGGAAATACAATAGCATCAATTTTTCAAATTTAAGGTCTCAGTAAGCTCCAGTTTTAAGGAAACGGATACTTTAAAATTTAAGAAATAAACACATATATATTATATATATAGGAAAAAAAAACATATTTGGCTGACCCAATAAAACAACTCTAAAGTAAATTTTTTGTTGTGATAGATTCCTTAGCCTCTAGCAATTTTGTTCGATGCATTTCGGCTAATTTTCATTAAATTCCAAAAAGTCTGTTTGAACCGAACATTATTTGAATTGATTATAAATGATGTTATTATTGTTTAAATGTGAAGCCATGTGGCAAAATGGATACTGCGTCTCCCTTCTAAGGAGAAGACTGTGGGTTCAAGTCCCACCATGGCTGATTTTTTTATTTTTCATGTAAATTGATAAATAAGAATTCACTGAAAAAAATCATTCATATGAATGGACAAGTTCAAGGTTTTATTTACATTTGTAATGGTATTGTTTATGATGGCATACAATCATCATTTTTGATCAAGCATTTCAATTGCCACTAGAATAGGAAATGATTGAAGTTGAAGAGTGTCCCGCTAAAATGTAGCATAATTCTAGAGTTGGATAAGGGTTTTTCTAAGTGGGATCCTTAAAGTATTAAGGGTGCACCCGTATGTAAGTTTATTTGAGAGGAGGAGGATTACCCTCTCAATTTTGAGGGATTCGTTAGTTTATTTTCTCGATGAATATGCAATAAAATTTGATTTTTACCTTATCAATATACTTCATATAATATACACATGTTCATGTAAAAACTTTTTCCCAAAATCCTCAGGAATTAAGGGATTTTTGAATTTTAAGAATTTTTTTCGAATTTTTTCGAAAAAAAAATATTTTCAGAACAGCCTTAACGGCTAAGATTTAGGAACAATGTTAAGTATCAAAAAGAAAGGAGGTCTGATATAGACAACATATATCGTTGAAGGTTGAAAAAATCTCTAATATTTGAGCCCAAAATTTCAAATTTTAATTTTTTGAAAAAAGAGGCCACCCGTATGTACGTTTATTTGAGAGGAGGATTATATCTTTGAAAGGGTGAAACATTATGAATATGTTAATTATATAATAATATGTATTATTATAAAAAAGAAAAAATAAAGCACGTTAAAATTTTTCTTTCTTGATTTTTTACAAAATCTACTTAGAATTATGCAAAATATGACTAAATAATTATAAATTTCAAGTTAAATTTTAATTTTGATAAATAATTTAAATTTCAAAATATCAAGTTCAGTTCGACTATGTATGTAGTAATTCCTCAATAAAGTGCCAAAACCCTATTAAAATATATGAACATTTTCAACATTTTAATGTTTTTATTTAAAAATTTGATGGAATATGAGCTTCAAACAATTATTATGTAAATAAAAATAATTAAATATATGTATTTATTCGTATTACAACCGTAGTAAGTCGATTCTTCCTTTCTTCTACTGAGATTTGAATTTGATTTCGAATTGTAAAGAGATTCAAAGGGAAAATACTAGCGGATAAAAACTACCTCCATGAAAGGGTCATAATGGAGTCAAGTTGTATTTTTTGATATTTTTTGCTTTTCGAGCCTAAATGGGTAGCCAAGATAATGCCTAAAAATAAGGTTCTAAATTCTGAAGTTTACATGATCCTCTCGTGTGCACCCTTAACGATTTGGCATTGTTAATGTACTAAAAACATTTTTTTTGAATAATTGAGATGATTCTGCGGTTTTTTAATGGACAAAAACAATCTCTCTTCATTATTTTATCAAAACTTTGTTAGTAATTATCAAGAAATTGGACAATAAACATATGATAGACCTATGTAGAAAAATATTATGGTATTACAGTGAAGAAATTTCATTGAAACCAAAATTTAAATTTGATAAGAACCATAAATTTAGGCTGGAACGATTACTACGAAGGAACAAATGATAGTTATTATACAGGTAATATTGTTAACGATAAAAGCTACTATATCTACGAAGTTGTTTTCTCAAACAGTAAATCAAGGTTTTTATCATATGAATCGGGTACAATATCCACTAAGATCCTTGTTGAATCTTCTCTATTCTATAATAATGAAGTTAGTGATTATGGTTGTAATTTATACTTGAAAGGAAATGGAAATTTTGTCCAGAAAAGAGTTTGTTCATTCAATTGTTCCAGTACTTCATTTGGTCAACACTGTTATATCAGAAATTCTGACTCTCAAAAAGAGAAAAACGATAATATCGAATCATCATATTCAAAATTAGGAAAATCAAATGGAGATGCTTCTATTCATCATGGACATAGTGAAGTTATTATTTCTAGAGTCAATGTTTCATATTGCAGTACAAATCAAGGAGCAGCATTTTGGCTTGAAATTACATTTTTTGAAGGAAATTTTACATATTCTTTATTTTTAAGTAACACAGCAACAAATGTTTATTGTTTCAATATGGGTAGTTCCAAGCCATTTTCTATAATTAATTGCAATATTCACAATAATTCATCTCCAGATCAATTAATTGCGACATTTAATTATCAATTTACATTTAAAAGTTGTATCATTACTCAGAACGAAGCAGCAAATACATTTTATGGATATAGTCCAGGTAAATCCAAATTAATTCATTGTATTTATGAGTTGAACGGAACGACTGAATTTGTTGATACATCAGATGCCCATACAAATTCATTTGAAAATGATTTATATTTTTATGAAACATATGAATGCAAAGCCGAATTAAATATCAACTACATGAAAATACATTCTAAATTCCGCAATCTCATTTATTGTTTATTAGAAGATCCAAGTATTATTTTTTATCTCGACAAAAATCATTTACAAAAACAAATTTAATGCCACATAGAATATAAATCAGTGTTCGAAGATAATCAACACTCATTTTTGATATCTTATGAAGTTTAATGAAAAATTTCGCAGATCCATGTAAATTAGTAGAAATGTATTTTAGAAAAAGAAGTTACTATAGATCTCAATGCAGACGTAAGAATTTGTTGTTTTTATGAACTAATGCTAGAAAGTAGTAATATTCCCTTATGGGAGCACTTACACCGATCTGACTTTAATTCAAATGAAAATTATTCTTATTGTGATATGAATAATTTTGTGAAATGAAACAATAAAGTATTAAATACAATTAGCAATAAAATTTTAGCAAAGAATTGATATTTAGGTATGAAAAATAAATAAAGATTTTATAATGTATTGATATAGTAAAAATTAAGAAAATATATAATAAGAATAGATAATAAAGGGTACTTGAAGTAATCTCCTAATGCGTCAAATACATCTCTGAAAATATTGATCCAATTAACAATTCCTCTTCGACAGTATTCATAATATATCGATTTACTGACTTCATTCATGCGAAAATCAGCTTTCATAACAAAAAGAGGATCTTTCAACAACAAGTATCTAATGACTTTTTCTGATCTGTTACTAATAGCAATTTCGATTGGTAATTTATTATTTAGTTCTGTAGCATAAATGTCACAATGATTTTTATAAAGAAAATCTGCCATTTCCAAATCATCATTTTTTGCTGCGAAATGAAAAGGATTAATACTGAATTTGTTGAGGTCACAACCATGTTCACAGAATAGTTTAAGCATTTCTAAATTTCCAATTTTACTCGCGGCTAAAAATGGTGATGAAAAAATGGTTTTTCCGTTTACATCTGCTCCTAATTCAACAAAATCAACAACTAAAGATGAGATGTTGTAGTAAACAGCTGTACAAAGTGCAGAATCTAAATCATGTGTCAATGCGAACTTTAAAAAGAAAAGATTCAAATTATCATAAATAAAAGTAGAAAGATAGTCAAATAGATTAATAAACTTTGGTGCAATGTCAATAAGTAAATTCATATCTTGAATGTGAAGTAATGCATCTAAAAATCGATTATTAATATCGATTTTCGTAATTTCATAGAAAATTTCGGAAATAATCATGCTGTTACCTCCAATCATGCTTTGTATTAATGTTTCGTTTGTAATTTCGGCACCAAGTTCTTTCAAAAACTTGAAACATTTGTATGAACCAAATTTACTGCACCAATCGATTAATTTTAATGATCCGTATGTATGGTTTGGCTTCCAATCTCTCTTATAGCATGTTTCCATGAGAAATTCGACATCATCCCGCATTAAATAAAATTTTAACGAAGATCTTTTGTAAACTTGTAAGATTTGACGAATTGTTTGATCTTTATACTCATCAATATTCATGTCGATGCCTGTTCCGAATTGTTTGACTATTAAACTTCTGAATCTTGGCGTGAAATCGCGATAATTTAATTTTCGTGGGTAAAAACTATAAAGTAACTTAAAAATACCCCAGTATATGGGAAGCGCTACTAAATTTTCGGAACTTGCTCGGCTGCAAAGGACTTGAAAGAAATAAGGATCAATTTTGAATTTATTTATGATATAATCGATTTGATTGAACAACACTTCGGGATCTCCATCCTTTAGTAAATACAATGTGTTAATTGTATCTATATAATCTCTATATTTTGTGCAAAAAGTTCTAAGAATAATTTCTCCTTCAGTCATCAGAAAGTGTAAAAAATTACATAACTTTTACCAGACATAAAAATAAAGAAATATTAATGTATATTATTAAGTCTTTCATTTTATTTAGATTTCAGACTTTATGATATATTATTTAGTGAGAAATTATCTTTAATTCCAATATACTCATATATGATACAACTAAAATTTACGAAAATAGGCAATACTCAAAATGACAATCAAAACTACCAAATGTGCCTCAATATTATAGGGAATCTTCATGAAAATGTCCAAATTAAGCTTAAAAAATCAATTATCAGATGATTAGAAATCTAATATATGATATATGCATCTCAGTTTTCTTATTATAACTTTACAAATTCTGAATTCCACCGAAGATTGGTTAATGCCCGATGAAAGCATAATCAGCTGTTTATGGGGTACTTTGTTTCCAGTACTATTAGTGTGGTTGAAGGTCTGGTAGTATAAAATATTTACTATTTTTGCCGTTTACATTCAAAATTTGTGGTTTATTCTGAATTTATACGGATAATTAAATAAAAAATTTTCTCTCATCTTTTTTCGAATTGTTTTCTATTAATAATCTATGAATATAGTGATGTTTTTTATAAAAAATTATTCGAAAAAGTGTCAATGTTTCATCCCTCAATCTTTGATGAGATTTCAATTCCAGAAAAGGGATTATTCAATGAGGATCCCCCGTTTCCTCTTCTTATAGAACCGAAAGAATTAATGGCTGCTCAAATTTCCGGTTTAGAATCAACAGATTACTTTTTAATTGACCTTTTAAAGCGTGATTCACCACAAGTAAGAATCGTTATCGAAACATATTTACGAGAAAGAGAATTTATTTCAACAATTCGATACTTAAAAGACAAAATTGTTGCGAATTGCATTGATAACTTTGCATTAATACCAACAAAGCTTATTCCACCTATTCAGAATTTAGAAAGCATTCATATTCTATTACTAAATGCCCTCTCTCGCATTCTTACAAATCCTCTTTCAGATTATTACATCTTTTTCAATGAAATTATACATACAGTTAATGTCGTTCCAATACATCAGCAATACATTGCAAAATGTCTCGAAATTGAACCAATGTGTCAGACATTTTCTATAAATGTTGATCATCTTGAACCAAAATCGAAACTGTTTATCCATTTATTCCGCGAACCATTAACATACATATCTGATATCGCATCTTTAGTTTTAAAGGCTTCTAAACTTATATCAACAAATAGAACTCAAGAAATGGTCGAATTCTCGAACAATTGCAAGAACATATTGATGTCTATCGATTCTATACCAATACTCGAGAAGATTGCCAAGAATTTCTTGATAGAACCATTCCCAATTGTAGAACCAGGAAGAAGATTCATAAAACAAGGCACATGTCTCAAGCATTGCAGAAAAGATGTTTCGGAACGCATCATTATATTATTCTCCGACTTCTTCGTATACGCACAGCCTCATGGAGGCAAATGGATGGTTCCGGCCGCATATCATTTATCTAAGATGAAAATTGAACTCCCTAAAGCAGATATACATTGTATATCTATATATTCGCCAAGGAAATCATTCGTATTGGAGTTCAAATCAGCCAGCGAAGTGAAATCTTGGTATGACGCCATATCTAACTCAATTTCAAACGTTCAGGCAGGTACAGATAATAATTTCGAGGTCGCGCCAATATGGATGCCTGATAGTTCCACTCAAGTTTGCATGATTTGTCACCAAGAACATACATTTTTTGTCAGAAGACACCATTGCAGAGCGTGCGGTGCTGTTGCTTGTTCAGATTGCCTTAAATATAGAGCTATTGTTAAGGGGGTATCACCAACTCCTGTAAAAGTCTGTTTTAACTGTTATCAAAAGATAATGAACCAGAAATCTAATAGAATTAGCTCACCAACACCACAACCAATCATCCAGCCTCAAAGAGCTCCTGCTTCTACACTTCCAAAGAGGTCTATTTCGCCTCCTCCTGCAATATCTGCAAGCGACAACGAATATTACACATCATCCGATTATGTATCTGATTGATTTGTTTCTAGTATAAACTGTTAGTATATTTTCTTTCTCCTTAATCCTTATTTCATTTTTTCATATTTTTAATTCATCAACAATATCATCTGATAACTTAAATATAAAATATGTTATCAAATTAATCCAAAATGCCTTACTAATTTCTAGGTTAACTTATAATCTTGTTAATTTTTTTTTAATACTCTTGTATTCTAGCTTTCTTCTAAGTGTAGATCTGATATTTACATAAATGTATTACGATTACATCCTAAAATTACTAATAAAAATCTTTTCTTATGTTCAATTAAATAATTTCAAAACAATTTAAGTGGAATTAATAAGAAATATCAAAAACTCATCTTAATTTTGGTGGTAAAATCTCAAATTTCTTTATGATAACTTCTAAAATAGCTTTGGATCATTAAATTGTATCAGAATTTGCTATGAAACTAAGAAAAGCTCTAAAAACAGATAGATATTTGTTAGTTTTACAAGGAAATATAACAAATGATCATATAATTATTATGAAATTCCTAATTTTGAGAAAGAATTTTTCTAAATTTTTCAAGTAACATAAAGATAACTTTAATAAAACACATTTTATTCATTAATAAAACTAAAAATAAGCTATAAAAATTAGAAATGGTCATCTTCCATTCTCTCTTCCTTCTGCTTCCTCTTCTTTTCCCTGTCTTGGTCCCTGTCTTTTTTAACTTCCCTCGACTGCTGAATTTTTCTGATCGTCTTGCTGTTGATTATTCCTTCTCTGAGTGGTGCCAAGCGGTATTCGAGAATAGACTGGATCAGGGAGTTCTTTATCATGTGCATCTGGAATCCTGTCTTAAGGATATCCTTGATACAGTTGATAATGATCTGAGATTGAATATTATTAAATTTGATTTCTTGTTCAAGGAATTTGTATTTAACGAATGTTTCCTTTCCTTGTAAGAAACCTTGTACTTGTAGTAAGCAGGCCTTAATACTTTTGCTTTCGCTCTTTTTCCCAATTCTATCTCCGGATTCTTCCAATTTCTTAAGGAACTGCATGGCAAATAACCTGGATTGGTCTTCCTGCATGTAATAGTTACGTTCCTGGTTGAGATATGACTCGTAAATGACACCGGCCATTTCTATCGCTGGTCTTACGATATCTGCATGAGCACTGTGTATGCCTTGGATGATTACTGCCTCGAGATCAGATTTAAAGGTCTCAGTGGCGTACTTCGCTGAGAATATTGACATTAATAAATTTAATCCGGTAAATATGTATGAAACTGACATCGGTGATAATCTCATTGGACGACCTTTCTTGTTGAGGATCAATTCGATGTATTCTGAGAATAATTTCTCACAAAGTTCATCATTATCTACGGAGAAGGCCATTGAAAAGGCAATTGCAAAGAACATGAACGAGTTTTTGTTTGTAGCATTCTCAAACTCTGGAATTAGGCGTTTGATGAAATCTACGACGTTATCTTCAATCAAATCTCCATAACTTAATGAAAGAACACAAATAACTGCTAGCGCCAAGTCGTGGTCACTCTTATACTTGCAATAAACAACTTCATGGAAAATGGATTCGAAAAGATCATCGAATTCATCTTCAAATACTGAAAAAGGAACAATATTGTCACGTAAAAACTCATACATACTTGCGAGAGCATGAACTTTGATTTCATATTGCTCAGCTCTGATTTGCCTAATCAGGGCTTGCAAATTGACTTCAAATTCACCCATTTTTTAACGATGTCAAATTCAGAGAGAAATTTTTGTCTCTCTCAAAATATATTGTTATGATATTGGCCAAGCATCAAAATCTTCAACTTTTTTTATACCTGTAATCAAAGAAATAAATCATCTGAAAATCACATGAAATCACCAGAATATTTATGCATTTCCGATGCACACATGTTTCAAAATGTATCTAGATTGTATTCATCTTCAGAATTTAGCTTTTTTCGATATGAATTGATGTTGATTTGCAAAATTTAGCACTAATATAGGTTTCTTGTACTATCTTATAAAAGAATTCATTTACTCATGGATATGATAGGAAACATTTCTGTTATTTCATTGATAAAATGCATTTTTTCATCAATAAAATTTGCACATTACTGTGTTTTTTGATATCAGAGATAATTTCTTTAATTTAATTCGGTTATGGGAAATATAACCGATAACTGATCTCCTTCGGTTCATTACTTTTCAGATTTTCTGCCATGATTTGACACAGGAATCAAATTATCTCATTTAGATACAATTTTAGGAATTTTTATTTAATGATTTCCGATAATTTAATTTGAATTACAAATTTGTGAAGTTTACATATAATTAGCCGTATTAGGAACAGATACAGGAACAATTATTGGAATTGTATTAGGAATATATTACGGAATTAGTCTTGTCATATTAATTGTTGTTTCAACATTTGCATGTATTCATCCAAATCGATTCATTCGTGCAGGATGTATGTGTGCATGTTGTGATAATACTCCAAATTGGACACGAATCATCAATTATTACTACACACACGAAGATTTACATCCAGCCAAGAGACTATGATGTTATAAACAATTATGGGATTATAATTCATGTCCAGCTCCAATGAAATGCTTTGCTTGTGATGATGAGAAGCAAAAGGAAATCTGTTCTAGTGCTGAAAGAGAATGCTGTTTTTGGCCTATTCTAATTTGTATTGATATTCCTTATAATCTTTATGTCACACTTAGATTCTTCATGAATATATTTTGGCTCGCATTCTTTGGTCCATATTTGATTTATATCTTCATTTACGCATATCCAAGTTTGAATGATGATGAAAAAGAGCTTGAGAAGAAATTAGTTTATCTCCAAAATGTCAAAGTTAATGATTACGAAGGAGAACGTAAAGCAATCAAAAAGATGAATAAAGAAGAGAAAAAGAAGGAGAAGAAAGAAATGAAGAAACAAAATAAACAAAAGGAAAATTATCAACCTCCTCAAAACAATCAACAACAAATTCCTCAACAGCAACAACAAGCTCAGTATTATTATCCTCAATATCAGTATCAATATCAACAACAACAACAACCTGTTAATGCCAATGGTCAGAATCAACAATATCAATACAATTATCAATATCCATACCAATATCAACAACCTCCAGTTCAAGGTCAATATCCATATCAAGTTCCTCCTCAATCTCAAAATCCTCAATCACAAACACAACCTCCAAATCCACAACAAAATGGTCAATTCCAAGGAAACTATCAATATCCACAATATTATCAATACTCATCACCTCCACAAGTTCCTCCTCAATCACAATCACCACAACAACCACAACAACCACAAATTCCTCCTCAAGTACCTCCACAATCACAATCACAACCTCATTCACCTTCTGATCAAAATCATTCTAATGATGACAAACCTGCTGAAGTTTGAAATTAATGATATTTTTTTATTATTATTACTTTTTTATTAATACAAATAAAAGTGAACAATGTTTATACAATGGTTTTGATATTTGATTTTTAAATACAACATATAGTTTCATAGGTATCAGGAGAATTTTAATTCAATTTATAAAAAAATTATTTTTGAACGACCATGTGTCAAAACGGTTTTGGCAAAAAACTACTAAAACCGTCAAATCTTTTATGTAATGTTTTCTTAGCATTTCATTATAAAACTATAAGTCAATGATTCAGTTTTACATCAATTTATTTCTTTTATGTATCGTACTTACAGAATTGATGTAATTCATTGAATTTTTTAATTTCAGTTCAAAATTTTTATCATTTTCCAAAATGCATTATCATATATTTATTTAAAAACATCATCATACAAAAAGATTCAGTTATAACATATTTATAGGTATATGCACGCCCATAACAAACCTATAAATTTTGTGACACTCAACGATATTTTTTATTTTATTTTATTTTCTTTACCAAGATATGCTATATTTAATTTTTTCATTGCAATATATTAAAACAAATCAAGATATCCAACAATTAGGAAGAAAGCCACTATACATCAAAGCAACAATTGCAAATAAGGAAGAAATTCAAATTTCAATTAATTTGAAGGAAAAATTGATGGAAAATGAACATATTTTGATAGATTTACCAAAGCATCATAAAATAACAGCTAACATTTACAAAAATAATACTACAACACCTTTTATTTCTCATGAAAATATTCATCAAAATCATTCAGTAATTTTGAATGAATCTTCAGTAATAATAAGACTTTCCAAACCAATGGATAATTCAAAAAGATCATTTTTGATCAAATTATCAAAAGTTTCGACAAATGATTTTAATTTGCAAAAGAGAAATGTATTAGGCTCAAATACAGGAACAATTATTGGAATTGTATTAGGAATATATTACGGAATTAGTCTTGTCATATTAATTGTTGTTTCAACATTTGCATGTATTCATCCAAATCGATTCATTCGTGCAGGATGTATGTGTGCATGTTGTGATAATACTCCAAATTGGACACGAATCATCAATTATTACTACACACACGAAGATTTACATCCAGCCAAGAGACTATGATGTTATAAACAATTCTGGGATTATAATTCATGTCCATACAATCCTTTCAAATGTTATTATGATGATCAAAAATGGTTGAAAGAACGTTATCAAGAATGTGCTGACTATATGCCTCCTTGTGTTTTCTTAGCTATTGATGTACCTCATGCATTTTATTGCTTAATAAGATTTTCATTAAATATACTTTGGCTTGCATTCTTTGGTCCATATCTACTTTATATTTTTATTTACGCATGTCCAAGTTTGAATGAAGATGAAAGAGAATTCGAGAAAAAGTTGATTTACTTGGAAAACGTAAAAGTTAATGATGTTGAAGGTGAAAAGAAGGCTCTTAAAAAGATGAATAAAGCTGATAAGAAGAAAGATAAGAAAGACAAGAAGAAACAAAAAGATAATAATCAACAAGTTCCCCAGCAGCAACAGCAACAACAAGCTCAGTATTATTATCCTCAATATCAGTATCAATATCAACAACAACAACAACCTGTTAATGCCAATGGTCAGAATCAACAATATCAATACAATTATCAATATCCATACCAATATCAACAACCTCCAGTTCAAGGTCAATATCCATATCAAGTTCCTCCTCAATCTCAAAATCCTCAATCACAAACACAACCTCCAAATCCACAACAAAATGGTCAATTCCAAGGAAACTATCAATATCCACAATATTATCAATACTCATCACCTCCACAAGTTCCTCCTCAATCACAATCACCACAACAACCACAACAACCACAAATTCCTCCTCAAGTACCTCCACAATCACAATCACAACCTCATTCACCTTCTGATCAAAATCATTCTAATGATGACAAACCTGCGGAAGTTTAAAATTCATTATATTTTTTAAATCACTAATAAAATTTAACATCATGATATTTTTAAAAAAAAAAAAAAAAAAAAAAAAAAAGGAAGTGGGGCTTCCAGGCACTTCGTGCCCTCTAGCCCCGAAGATGTTTAGTATAAATGAAGTTCTTATATACGGGTCTTCCAGGAGCTTTTCACAAATTATATATGTTTTCATGTTTTGTCAAGACTTCTTCGTAAAATCAGACAAAAATAATGTTTAGGGTAGAAGGTTAGATATAACCTCTTTTCTAACCTCTTTTCTACCCTCTTGAATTTTCAAGACTTCTTCGTACATGTTTTGTCACTTTTCTGTCACTTTTCAGGAAAAAACATTTTTATTATATATATAAAATGAATTTTACAAAACCACCGTTACCCTTCTTTGGAAATAAGAGTAGATGTAAAGATATTCTATTGAGAGAACTTAAGAAACTACCGAATGGTCTAACATTTGTAGATTTGTTCGGTGGAAGTTTCTATATATCCCATTTGTGCCATACAATATTCCCAGACTCAAAGATTATATGCAATGACTTCGACAACTATATGGACCGTCTCAAACATATACCAGACACAAACAATATATTGAAAGCGTTAAAAGAAAAGATACCTATAGGTAAGATGGAACGTATACCATTAGATAAGAAAAATACTGTCAGAGAGGTTTTGAAAAAGGCAGAGTATATTGACTGGGATAGTATATCTGCTAGACTATTATATAGTGGTGCTATAAGAGTTCATGACATTGAAACACTTATGTCAAAAGTTTTATATCTTAACTATACAAATGTTTTCAAAGAGAACATAGAAAAATATATTGAGGGTATAGAGTTTGTGAGATGTCATTGGACAGAGTTGTATGAAAAATATAAAGACAAGGAAAATGTTTTCTTTATAGTGGACCCGCCGTTCTATAACACATGGGATTTTCAATACCAAGTAGACTGGACTTTGAGAGACTCTTTAGAAACTTTAGACGTTTTACATAACCATCCATGCTTTTACTTTACATCCGATAAAAGTGGTTTGGAAAGTGTCATGAGATGGTTAGAGGACATACATGACTATGATTTTAGATACGATAAGATAGAATATGAGAGAGGTCCTATAAACTGGAGAAAGTGTCATAACAAAGAAATTTTATTGGTAAGTAAATGTGGTTTGAAATAGGACTACTTGTTTTAGGCTTTTTCCATTGTGTCATTTACTTATTTGACGTGGCAGAAAGATATAGAGAATATGAAGATGAACCAATGCCTGCAAATGTTCAGTATATGTACTCGTAAGAGATATTTTTATCTAATATTAAATGGACGCACAGAACTTAGCGAATGCACAGCAACCTGGACAACCAAACCCAGAGAATATTCCAAATGAAGTTAGAATACAAACTGCAATGGCAAACTATGGTCAAGTGCCAACAGATGTACAAATGCAAACTGCCATGTCAAATGACGCTGCGTTAGGTTTGCCACCATGGTATGCAAATATGAGATGGAAAGAGTTTTATACAAACCCTGAAGTGGGATATAAACAACTCTATGCAGATGACGCGAACACAGGAGTTGACCCAGAGTATGTTTTCTACCAGAGGAGAAATAGAATGTATGAGCTCCAGTTAAAGAATGCTATGGAACTCAACAGGAAACGTAAGAGACTAGGCGGACATTAGATTTTTACATATAGTAAAATGGGTTTCTTCAGTAAGATAGGAAACTTCTTTCGAAATGTTGGAAGAGGTATATGGAATGGAATAAAAACCGTCGGAAGAGGAATTTGGAAACGGAGTCAAAAATATTGGCAAAAGAGTAGGTCAGTTCGTGGTATTATACCTAAAGACCCTGAACCAGAAGAGCAAGCTCCTGTTATACAACAGCCTGAACCTGCACCACAGTCTAGTTGGCAACCAAATCCAACACCTCAACCTTATTAAAAAATCATATTTTTACCGTTCGATAGTAGTTGTATATGAAACTAAGTTCTAAGTAAAACGCATGGTATAATGGAATTATTCTCTTTCTTCCATCTGTAGTAAACCATACTTGAAAATCCGAAATACTTCCACTCGGTGGTTCATATAGCTTTGTAGGTTTTTCGTAAAAGTCATTTGCCAAGCATAAAAAAGAGTTTTGTGCACCAGAAAATGAAGCATGAACTATAATGCATCTGAGTCGAAAACATTTTCATATGTTCCATTAGGGTTTTCGACTTCATAATAGTCCGGGTGTACTGGATACCATGCAGGCTGATTTAACATCCTCATAAATCTATGCCATGCCAAGTTGTTATATTTTGTAGAAATATAAACGTTTTCTCCAAGGTCTTCTATTTTATTGATTTTAACAGTTGCATTTTTCCTGTCATATATAATATCGAGATGGTACTCTCCTTCGTCAATGTTGTACTGTTTTGCATATTCGAGATAGATATCGTTTATTTTTTCTTGAAAAGCTTGAAGAGTTGTTTCTAAGTTTACAAGCAAATTCACTTGTAAAAGTTTTCCCTGTTCAAATTTCTCATACGTACGTTTTTCTTTGTTATAGTATCGAACTTCAAAAGCGACCGTAAATGGGAAACCATGTATGGCTTCTGAAATGAACTTCATTCTACGAAAGCCAATAGCTTTTGTGACGGATGGTCTCTTAACCATCTTAGTGGGTAGTCAAAACGATAGCCTTCATGCTTTACGGTCTCTGTCTCAAACTTTTGACCGACATTCGTAAAAAGTTCATCTAATGGTTTAGTTGTAGCAACTCTTGAATTTTCTTTTTCTATTGAAAGCATATTTTATCTAGAATAAAAATGTCGAAAGAAACAGCGTCTATGAGAGAAATACAACACAACCGACAACTCATTTTGCAAGCTCTAAATAAGAACACAACAAACTTTTCAAACTATTCTAAGATATCTGAGTCATTGAAAGAAGGAAACTTAAAACTGACGATAAACCCATTGACAGACGAGTTTCTGTTTCAAGACAGTAAGAACCATACTGTTTGTATAAATCCAACAAAAAGAACTTTAAACGAGAAACCTATAGATGAACTTCTTTTGAAGGCAGATATTGACAACAAAGCTGACAAAGAGTATGTAGACGATGCAATAGCATATGTGGCTAGTGGGTTAGTGAAGAAGGCAGATAAGGAATATGTGGATGAAAAAGATGAAGAAATTAAAAAAATGGTTGAATGGTACCATGAACGGACATCGAAGATTTTAGAAGGTAAAGCCAATACAGGGTGGGTTTCAGAATGTTTAGACCTTAAAGCTGACAAAGAAACTGTAGATATGTTGGCACAAACGGTTTCAAGTCATACCAGAGGTTTAATGGAAGATGGACAACAGTTGAAAGAGCTTGAGAAAGGTGTTACAGAGTTAAGGAATACAAAAGCAGACTCGACATGGATAAAAGGATATGTAGATGCAACAAAAGAGTATATTTTCACATGGACAGAAGGAACATACCCACAAAAATATCATAGACATAGCATCTCTGACGTAAATGAACTTGAAGAAAAGTTATATAAAAAAGCAGACAAAACAGAGCTTCAAACATTAAAGACAGAAATACTTCAAACATTATATCCTATAGGTTCTATTTATACGTCAATGAACTCTACCAGACCAGAAGTAGTACTTGGTTTTGGAACTTGGACTCAAATAGTCGACAGGTTTTTGTATTGTGCAAACTCTTCAAAGGAAACAGGTGGAAGTAAAACGATTTCAGGTGCAAATTTACCTGCGCACAGTCACTACATAAATTTAAGTACATCTGAAGCAGGTTTGCATAGTCATAGATTTTGGGATTGGTCAGGAATGACAAAAGGTAAAGGATATGATGTTAAAGAGGACGTTAAGTTTGCTATAAATTGTTACTGGAGTAACACTGAGGTAGGAGGAAGCCATACACATCGCGTTTCGGGATATACGCAAACAACGGGACAAAGTAAAGACTACATGCCACCTTACATGACAGTTTACGCATGGTATAGAAATGCTTAGTCGTCATTTTCAACTTCTTTAGCATATTCGTCAGGAGTTGTCTTATATTTGTTAGGAACTGTCTTTGAAAGTATACCACCTTGAACTTTGACAAGTTTGAAACGAGGTCTGACAATAGTAGTTTTATCTTCTGCTTGCAGTCTGTACATTTTGCCATGTTTGCCTAAAACTTCATAATATTCTCTTGTATACTTTCTTCTATTTTTACGAACACGAATGTGAGTACCTGTCGAGTTCCCATTGTTGTCATAGTCAATAGTATTTTCATATGGGTCGCGTTTAGGTATTTCTATTTTTACTTTGTCACCTTTCTTAAGTTTGAAGCCTGGCATTCTTTCTTGTTTGTCTCTTTTGACTAAACTATTAAATATATAGTCTTTCTCTAAGTCAGGGTTGTTTTTCATTTCTTCAGGGGAATGGTTTCCCAAACCTTTTTGTTTACGGCTATTGTAAATATTTAAAACTTGTCTCATCTTTGCCATGGAGAAATGTCTATATTTGTCGTCATATGACATTTCATCTACCTCACCACCTTGTGGTTGGTTTAAGTCTCTTAAGATTTTTATACAACTGTCAATGACACCAAGAGCAGAATGGTTTTGGTCGACAATGAAATATTGGTTTACATTTTTTGAACGCAGATAGTTTTTTACATCATCTGATTTGAAAGAACTTTCACAGTCAGATGTCAGTTTTGTTGGATGGTATTTGTCAACAAATATTGTCAAAGCTGCTAAGATATCTAAAATATTTTTGGACTGTAATGGTATGGCTTCACAGTATCTTGTGTTTTGACCGACAAATATTAGCCAGTATGGAGGTCCATCTTCTCTATACCTCGGAATGTTTTCCAAGATATCCATAAACCAAGCATTTGGTGTTGAACTAAAGATTTTTACCATGAGTGCTTTCTTTGTCGCTTTAGAAACATAGGGGTCCTTGTTTGGATTCGTCATTTTTTACCCTATAAGAAATGGGTTTATTTGGCGCATTAGCAGGAGTTGCATCCAGATTTTTGCCCGCAGTTGGAACAATAGCCAGAGGTGTATTTGGAGTTGGAAGAAAGATTTTGAGTACATTAGGTATACTGAAAGAGAAAGCACAACCTATTATACAAACTGTACAGAAAGGTTGGGAGGTAGCACGAGATGCAACAAATCTTATTCCAAATCCTGAAACAAGAGGAAAAGTTCAAGGATGGATGGACAATGTAGGAAGAGAAGCAGGAAACTATTATAACAAAGCAAATGACTACTATAACCAAGCAGGACACTATATGGACCAAGGTGAAAGATTCTTTAACAGAGGATATAACCATGCACAACAGTGGGTAAACAATAACCAACCTCAACCGCCTCAAACGTGGGGAATGTAAAGTTTTTTACTGAGATGAAATGAACAATACAGCATTGAGACAAATGGGTTCAAGATGGATTTGTCGACTTCCAGCAGTTACACAACCACGTGTTTGTCAAGTTCTTCCTATACCTCAGGAAGTTTTAGACCGACTTAAAAAACCTAAACAACCAGTTGAAAACAAACCAAACTAAAATTTTTTACTGAGATGAAATGACGAAGAAGTTGAAACGGTAGATTTGACACCACAAACAAAAAGTTCAGAACCATTGTCAAAACCTGTCAAAGAACTTACAGATGAAGAGAAAAATTCAATAATAGAAAGTGCCAGGTCTGGAAATACAAACCCTAACTATAAAGTCACTTTTCATAGAAATGGAACGGCTAGTATCTCAAAAAAGAAACAGACTCTCACAAATAAAATATTGAAGTCTGAAGGAGTTAAAGAGACAACAGATGGAAAAGTTTACTTCACCGACCAACAGTTCATTATAGAACATCTCATTGACTTAGAGTCAAAATATTCTAAACTTTACAACAAACACAAAAAGTTGAAAGGAAAACAAAAACAAATGGCATATGATATTTATGAAGATGTTGACGACACAACCATACCTGCAAGTGAAGTAAAGTCAGGTGAACCAAAAAGTGACGAAAAACCGATAGAAGAAGGTGAGCCAAAAACTGAAGATAAACCAAAACCAAAGGTTAGTTTCCAAACTAAACCAAGTCAACCTTCATTAGCTGGTATGGGTTGGCGTCAAAGACTTTTGGCAGCAGGCGGTTATGTAAAGTAAAGAAAAAAATATTTTTTTATTTTTATTTGAAATGTACGCTGAGTTTGTTGGAGAAGACCGTTGGGAAACTTGTTTGTTAGATGAGAAATATGAAATGGCATACCATTTAAAATAAAACATTTTTTCAAAAAAAAATATTTTTTTATTTTATTTGAAATGTACGCTGAGTTTGTTGGAGAAGACCGTTGGGAAACTTGTTTGTTAGATGAGAAATATGAAATTCACTGTTGTGAGTCATTTGAAGTCAGAAACAAAAAGACAAAAAGAGTTTTAAGCGAATGTGAGCGAAATGACGGATATACTACTATGGATATGAGTGGAAAACACTATTTTAAACATATTGTCATTGCAACTCATTTTATACCGAACCCTAACAATTTACCTTTTGTAGACCATATAAACCGTATAAGAAACGACAATAGACTTGAGAACTTGCGTTGGGTCACTCGTTCTGAAAACAATAAGAACAAAAGCAAATTTCGAGATATTGTATTCGAATTTGTCGACGAACTAGAAGATGAAACAATTGAAATTACAGACTATGGCAAGCATACGCTTGAGTTTTACTACTATAGCGAAGAACAAGACTCTTTCTACTTTTATACCGGCGTAAACTATAGAAAATTACAAGTATATTTTACTAAGACGGGCTATGCTTATGTAAACGCTAGAGATACAGATGGAAAATGCGTTCGAATACTTCTTAACAAATTCAAGAAGCTATATGGCATACCATTTTAAAACAGTATATTTTTTTATTTTTATAGAAATGCCACCGCATAGAATGGATAGAAAATCTGCTAGAATAAAAGCAGAGTTAGAAAGATATGGTTGGAAAGTTTCAAAGAAGTTTAAATATAGGAAGGGAAAGCCAATAAAAGTCTATGACAAATTGTCTGGTCTTCGCTATGAGATGGATTTAGAAACCGCGCGCGCAAATTATCCAAACAGACTAGAGAGGTTAGAAGAAGAACGTCTTATGGACATGCCTTTCGATGTTAGTGAGCCTCAAGTTGAGGGACACGACGGCTTTGCCAGATTCTATTGGAAACATGACGAACAATTGCATCCTTTGAGACGGAAAAAAGGGAAGGGTGAAGACAAACATGCTCCCATGGAAAGAACAAGATATGCATATGAAAAGTACCGTGAAGTTAGAAGTCAAATTACATCTGGTCGAACCTTTACAGTAAACTTTGACGAAGGAAAGAACAAAGAAGGCTTCATGGGTCTACTTGCTGCCATACAAGACGGAAATAAGAAAGGATATAACCTCAGATTGACCATAACAGATTTGGACGGTCATATATACTATGCAAATGGCAATGTCACAACAGCTGCAAAACTTCTTGACGCTTTCAAGACTACAAAGAGAGAACAAATGGTTGACTCCGACTCAGACATTTTGAATGCAATTGAAGGAATTGTAAGCGTGAAGTTCGAATGGTACCAACCTAACCCTCAAGCAGTCAGACAACTTGTTTGTTAGATGAGAAATATGAAGTTAAAACATTTATTTTAAAACAGTATATTTTTACATATATTAAATGTTTCAGGTTGAAAAACAAAGAACAAAAGCAGCAGATACAAAACCGTTAGACTATATCTTCACAAACGCCGGTATGACTATTTCAGATGAAGAAATTTCATCCGGTGCTTACAGGTTTGACTTTCCAATTCGTTGGCTTCAAAGTCCTTCAGATGCAAAGGCAATAGGATTTAGAAGAGTTTTGTTTTCAAAAAGAACTAACGCGTTTATGTTTGCGGTATATTTTCATGGGCGGTATAGAGGTCATGATGGTCTACTAGACAAATTTGATGAAATGAGAATCTTTACAGTTCGTTCAGACGAAAATCTTGAAAAAACTCTAAATGACTTTCAAACTCAAATAAACAAATACTACTGGGAATTTCAAGAAAAATACGATTCTTTACTAAATGGAACATACTATCTGAAACTAGAATATGACAAGATGAACTCCACAGTTTCATTTCAAAGGATTGAAAATAACCCTCCAAGAGATACACAGTTTTTATTTTGGCAAGTAGACAAACGTTCTTGGGCACAATTTCTTCGGTTACTAAACCAGAACGAACCATTACCACCTGACGGTCCGTTCTGGTTTATACGCCCACCAACAGATTTGACAGTTTATAGAAACGTGTTTGACCCTCAAAATGTTATGTGTCATGCAAGTTTTAGTTCAAGCAACAATAGTTTTCTTTGTATTGGTAAGGACTTTTATGACTTTGCTTCTAAATTCTACGAACCACCTAGTAACAGTTTCTCTGACTTTCAAGTTTGGTTCACAACAAATGGTGTGCAACATATTGTTCCATTGTACTACGACTTTTATCTCGAATTGTCTTTCATATATAACTACGGAGAAGTGCTGAAAAAGTATTGAAAAAAGAGTTTTGGTTAGATGTTTTTTTAGGTGTGCCTATGTGCCTATGTGCCTCGGTCATTTTAACTTCTCTGAAAAAGTGTGACAACACGACATTTTGACAACATCGTAGAAAACACACAAAACTCTTGAATTTTGTATAAAAAAAAGCAACCCGCGGAATTCCGGCGGTTGGTATATTCTTCACAAAATGCTTGTTTTGAGGTCGAGCCACTTTTGGCTCCACCGTATTTTTCAACCAAAACTCATGAATTTACACCAAAAAATATATTTTAGGTGGAACCAGGTCACCAGGTCACCAGGTAATTTTAACTTCTCTGAAAAAGCGAGACAACATGACATTTTGACAACATCGTAGAAAACACACAAAACTCTTGAATTTTGTATAAAAAAAAGCAACCGTCGGAATTCCGGCGGTTGGTATATTCTTCACAAAATGCTTGTTTTGAGGTCGAGCCACAAACGGATGTCCGACGGTTAAGCCACAAACGAATGTCCGACGGTTAAGCCACAAACGGATGTCCGACGTCCCACCAAAAAATATTTTTTTATTTTTATTGTAAGAACAGAAATGTCAGTCGAAGCAAAAACGTTCACGAACAAATCTAATGGCGAAACATTCACAAAAGGCACCTATAACGGTATTGAAGTCTTACGTAGAGACAAGGATGGTTATATAAATGCAACAAAGATATGTCAGCAGTTTAGGAAAGACTTTAGAAGGTTGTTGGAAAATAAGTCCTGGGAAGAGTATTTTAAGGCATTTTGTGAAGAATACCACCCCGCGGAATTCCGCGGGTTGCTTTTTATACAATGTTAATGCAGGAATTCCCGATGAAATCAAACAGGTTAGAGGAATGTATGTAGACCCAAGACTCGTAAACTATATTGCAATGTGGGCTTCTCCAAAATATTGTATAGCAGTTGGAAAAATTATGGACTCCATAGACAAGAAAGTTCATGAGAAGTTAGATGAAGAAGAACTTGAAGATACAGTAGAGAATGCAAAACCTTTGTTTGAAGAAGAAGTTAGAAAAATGCATGAAAAACAAATAGAACATGAACGTGAGATATGTTCTGGTTATAGAGATTCTCCATACGAACTAGACCAATGGGAACAAGAAGATTTAAAGAGAGAATTTAGAGAATATGAACTCGCTAAGATAGCATTAGAAGCTGCAGAAAAGAAGTTAAAAGCTTGGGGTCGTTTTGTACAAAAATATTGTGAGTAAATGAACCATTTTGTTGCTGAATTCAATAAAAATATATTTTAGGGTAGAAGGTTAGATATAACCTGTCTTCTACCCTCTTTTCTACCCTCTTGAATTTTCATGATTTCATCGTAAATGTTTTGTCAAGACTTCTTCGTACATGTTTTGTCAAGACTTCTTCGTACATGTTTTGTCAAGACTTCTTCGTACATGTTTTCTAACCTCATGAGTTTTCCCGAAATAAAAAATAAAGTTGGTTTTTTTAAAAAAATATTTTTTTATTTTTATTGTAAGAACATGTTAGCAACAACAGCACCAAACTCGTTAGTCATGAACCCAACTTCAATGTTAGTAGAGATGAAAAGCTTCATTCCTTCTTCATATACTTTTGAGACAGAAATCCAGAAGATAAAGCAAGAACTTTTAACAAGTACTTTGGACTGTAGTGCGAAAGATGAAACAAATGAACAGTATCTTTATGAAATGCAGGATATTATTGACCATCTACCTAAACTTCCTGAAATCCAACAACAAAAGCTTACTATTCCAGAATTCGATGAAATAGAAGTCAAAGCAACTGACTCAGTAGAAATAAAGAAGTTCATACGAAAGGTAAACTATGAGTTTCTTGGATTTCATTGCAACCATAAGGTTATGGACAAAGATTGCGACATGGTATATAAGAATGTTTCTGACATATATAAATCTGAAGAATTTAAGACCTACGACAACTTTGTTTCGTTAGCTGCAAAATGTGTATGGCAGATAAGAGATAAAGATAGAAGAGGTAAGATATGGAATGAACAGATAAAACCACAACTGTCAGATTTAAAGAAAACCATTGGACGCCTTGGTTGTTTTAGCAGGTAAGGTTTCAGAATATAACGCAAAGTTGAACCCACAATGTTCTAAATGTAAAGCAGCAATGAGGAAATATAACTACTCCGTCAAAGAGATAGAACGTATGAGAAACGACTATGCAGACTTAAAGACAGAAATGTCAAACAATGAGTTTGAAACAGTTGGAAAGATAGACAATGACACCAAAGTGGTTAGAATAGGTGATTTAACGTAAGATACTCAAGAAATACAACAAATATTCTTTGTCAGACATTTTATCTCCATCTGGAAAGAAAGCAAAGGACTGGGTTAGAATTGCTTCTACTCAGAAAAATTTTGACAAGAAATCCTGAGCTTATGATATCGGTAAGATTCTTATGGAACTACAGCATATCTTATAGACAAAAGTCTTATACCAATAGTTTTGTATGGATTGACCCAGTTGTTGGATATAACTTCATAACATATGGTTTATTCGACTCAGAACGTTGCAGTGAAGGCTTACTTTACATCGTTCAGAAACCGAAGGACTTCAACACAAAAAGATATAAGATAGGAAGGACATATAATATAACTCTAAGATATGACAGTACAAGTCAATAGAGTCAAGGTTGTGTTAGTTAACGATATGAGAGCTGCTGAAACAGAACTACTCGAAAAGTTTGAGAAAATGTATGGTGCTCCCATAAAAGGTAAAGAAACGTTTGAAAGTAGATGAGATAGAGTTGCTATAAAATTATTTGACGAAGTTGCTGAAAAATACATGTAAAAATAACGTTTACCATGTAAAACGCTTATAAAATAACTGGGGTAGAAAAGAGGGTAGAAGACAGGTTATATCTAACCTTCTACCCTAAAAATATATTTTTTGCTGAATTCAGCACAAAAATCTGAGTAAAATGGCATATAGATTGCTTACATGTAAACCGAGAGAAGAGATTCCGTACGAAAACAGTGAAGCACAGCGAGTAGGTAAGAAAACGTAGTCGCCAAAACTCTATGAAAATCGTGAAAATTCTCTAGACCGTTTTTTTCCCTACTCGCCAAAACTCTATGAAAATCATGAATTTCCTTAAGATACAGATAGAAAAAATAAAGTTAATTTTATTTTTTTTTATTTTTTTATTTTGTATGTAAAGACAGATATGTCAACAACAGAGAACACAACAACTGCTATCGTTCATGAAGCTATAAATGAAGAATATGAGTACATACAGTTTAACAAACAACTCCGTCTCATTCGTTCGGTCAAAGATGACATGTACCAAATGCAAAGTATTTTGACAGCATGTTTTGCTCCAGATACTAAGAAACCACAAGACTGGTTTAGGAACCAAAGCACACAAGAATTTTTGAGCGAAGCACAGCGAGACATACTTTTTTCTGAAAAACAGTGAAGAACAGCGAGTAAGTAAAAAATCTTTACTCGCCAAAACTCTATGAAAATCGTGAAAAATTGCCAAACGGTTTTGAGAGGATATTATGTACATAGACTTCTTGTAAATGCTGTTGCAATGTGGCTTCGCCTCGTTATGCTTGGAATATTTACAGACTTCTTGACGAAATTCACAGACAAGAACGTGAAGAGCTAGAGAAACAAGCTTGAAGCAAAAGACAAAAAGCATTCAGAAAAGAATACCACGTTCGGTACCAAAAGGAAAGGAAAAGAACTATAAGTATATGATTTACACTGAAGAGATGGAAAATGAAGAAGACAGAGATATGGTTATGTTGCATTTAGTCAGAAGAACAACAAAAAGCTTTTACGACCTTGCTAAGATTTACAAATCTGACAGAAATTGGTTCTATCGCGAAAACTTACCGATTTCAATGACACCAAATGAAGATGTTAAACAGATAGTTCAAGATACGTTACCTCAAACACACTATTATATGAAAGGTTGTACAATACTTACCTTCAAAGAAGATTTGCCATTGTTAAAGGAAAAAATAACAGAGTATTTTGACAACTTCAAACAAGCAGAGTAAATGAACCATTTATTTTTCAAGCTTGCCTTTTACATTCTGCCTGAGGAAGTCTTTAACAAGCTCGTTAATTTCAATTAGATAAATTGCTTCGTCTAAGGGGTCAAGCTCCATACTGAGTCAGTACAATATTGTACTTTTTCAAGACAATGTTGTATAAATTCAGTACAATATTGTACTTTTTCAAGACAATGTTGTATAAATCAGTACAATATTGTACTTTTTCAGAACAATGTTTGTATAAATTCAGTACAATGTCTCTCAAATTTGAGTACAGCTGTACTTTTTCAGAACAAGTCTTGAACTTTTTCAGAACAATGTTGTACTTTTTCAGAACAATGTTGTACTTTTTCAAGACAATATTGTACTTTTTCAAGACAATATTGTACTTTTTCAAGACAATATTGTACTTTTTCAAGACAATATTGTACTTTTTCAAGACAATGTTGTATAAATTCAGTACAATATTGTACTTTTTCAAGACAATGTTGTATAAATTCAGTACAATATTGTACTTTTTCAGAACAATGTTGTATAAATTCAGTACAATGTCTCTCAAATTTGAGTACAGCTGTACTTTTTCAGAACAAGTCTGAACTTTTTCAGACAATGTTGTACTTTTTCAAGACAATATTGTACTTTTTCAAGACAATGTTGTACTTTTTCAAGACAATATTGTACTTTTTCAAGACAATATTGTACTTTTTCAGAACAAAGACGGTTAAGACACAAACGAATGTCCGACGTTCCTCTTCCTGAATGTCTTCCAAAGCCAGAAGAACCGACAGCCCCAGCACCACAACAGACTAAGACTCAAACTCTTTATTTTTATTGACTTTTTACAATTTGAACTTTGTTCGCGTAGATATGAATTCTGAAAGAAGTATGAGGGTCTTGTATGACTTTGTACTTCTCCCATAGTTCATGTCTGTCAAACTTACCTGCCATGGACTCTTTCATAAGTTCCATGAAATCGTCTTCGGACAATCCAGGGAAAAGTATAATGTCAGTAAGTATTCTCTTTACATCCTTACTTAAACTCTTGGCTGTCTGTACACAAATGACAACTGAGATGTTAAAGTGTCTGAGCTTCTTAAGAATTCGACACATGTCTTGTTCTCTGTTCTTTAACAAAGGATGAGAAGCAAAGTCATCTAAGATAAGAAGACATCTATGAGGGTATGTCTTCCAATCGTAAGATTGCAATTTCTTCGAAATGTATTCTATCTCTTTCTGTTTGTTTCTGAAGTGTTTCTTCTCTAATATTCTCTGCATTTCCTCATTTGGGTCTTTAAACTTCGAATTGACATACTCATTTATAGCATTGTACTTCAAAACTCTTCTTTGGTACTTCTTTATCCAATCTAACAACTCAGAGTCTTTTATACATACTAACTTAGACTTCTTTATAATATCTTTGAACGAATTGACGGTTTGGTCAAATTGACCAGAAGTACTACAAATGACAACTAACTCATAGAATGGGTTCTTCTCATCTAGTTCTTGTTGTTGTGCAGCCATTATTTTAAAGATAAGTGAAAGTCTTACCCGACCCAGGTGGTGCAATTAGACCTGTTATACCATTCTGAGCAAATAAGAACTTGTCATGTATGGGTTTTATCTGAGCATTTTCTAACTTCCTCTTGTTCTTGTTTAAAACATTCTCAAATTTCTTGTCAATGTCAGCAAACTTTTTTTCTAACATATTTTTAGAAAAATTAAAATTTTTATCTTTTTGAAAATGTCTAGCGATTTCGCTATCTATATTCGAGACAAACTTTTTGACAGCAAAACATCTGTCGACCATAAAATCTTACATAGTGTAAACAAGAAAGGTGAATTTGTTCTAAAGTTCTGTTTCTGGAATATGACAAGAACCATAAAAACATTAGGCAGAGAAGTCTTTAAGTTTGTCAATGACAGACTTGTTGACAGAGATGACGCCTCTTGGAGAGATGAAGTCCAACAAAAGTTCTTAGAATGCAAAGAAGACACATGCGCTGTTCTTGAAGATGAAATAGGAAACAGAATAGAAGAGCTATTAAAGGACAAAGAACTTTTACATAAATATGGTTCTGAGAAATTTGACATAACTCCACCAGAAAAGAAGAAGAAGAGAGAAAAGAAAGAAAAGAAAGTAGAAGAAGAGAAGAAAGAACCTGAACCAGTTCCAGAGAAGGTGAGATATGACATGT